CTTTGTGATTTTCTTCAGTCCTTCCATTCAAATGTCTGAGTAATACCTCGATTAAACGACAAACGATTCCTTCCAAGTACTTTCCAATTTGCTATTCATTTGTCATCCTGCACTTCATAATTCGGATATTGAGACAGACGTTACATAACCCGTGGCCACACAGTGGTGTAGGACCCAATTCAAAGCGGAGGTATAGCTCCATCATTCTTGATATCGACACTAGATGGACGTGAATGATGAGCTTCACGCTTCTCACGTTTTACCCAAGGGGAAAATCGAACACGGCATCCTTTAAATAGGTGACTGGGTGGTCTCCAGGGCAGGCCTGAACGCCGTGGAGAAATAACTTGTCAATGCCGCGAATAGAACCCCAGCTGTTGCTATTCCTACTGAGCTATCCCGACTCCTATTCATAATTATGCCTAATTATAATTAAAGTACCATTGCATAATTTTAAGTTTAACACTCACGTAACGTTTTACAAGCGCGATTTATTATGACTGGTAGTGATATCTTCAGGTGGTATGTCAGCAGTATTAATTTCTTAGTGCTTGATTCAGTTGAAGATGGCACTTGGTGCCAATGTATGTCACTATTTAAACGTTGCTATATTAGTCATAGTTCTTGGGGTGAGTTGAGGCTGAGTCTACTTGGTACATCTGCCATTAACTGGCCTATTGTCCTAGCAACGGATGATAGACGATGAGTGTGGAGCAATCGGTGGAATGAGAATTGGCAGGGGAAACCGAAGTACTCTGGGGAAACTTGTCCGAGTGCTACTTTGTCCACCAGAAATCCCACATGACGATCTGCCAGGTCCGCCTTGGTGGGAAGAAAACGAGGAAGCGCCTGACCTAAGGCACGCCCTTACATTAGCACTGGGCCGCGCCATAGCTCAGGCGGTTACTCGCTGGCTTCCACCGCGGAGGCCTGGGTTCGATCCCGGTCTCGTCAATTGGGATTTGTGGTGGACTTAGTGGCGCAGGGGAGGTTTTCTCCGAGTACTTCGGTTTCCCCGGCCAATCTTCATTCCACCAATTGCCCCACACTCACCCTCACCTATCATCCGGGGCTGGTACAATAGGCCAGAAGTGGCCGAAGTACAAGGGACTCAGTCCCTCCCCACTAGCAATAATAAAAAAATACATTAGCACTACCTGCATTAATAACTTTAATTAAAGTTTTAGTACGATATCCGGCTACACAGATTAATTTTCAGCTTTTAAACTTAATGGCGCAACCTGCAATGTAAGCGCTGGGATCGAGTTAAGAAACACTTGAAATGACTGGAAGAGAATTATCATCTTTTTGTCTACAATCTGTGTCCTACGTAAGTTACACTTAGAAGAAATTTACGTGTATTCTGAAATGGGAGACTGTACATTCCTCTGAATTTTGGTAATCACCTGCCAGTTTTCATAGTGATATAACTCGGAAAACTCCAATATTGAGGGAAACGTTATATCTCAAAAACTAAACTTGAAAGCAAGCCTGAATATAGTAATGGCTTTATGAGAAAAAATAAGAACATAAAAATGCTAATTGTAACAGGATTCTATGTTTACACTCACGAATCCTAGGCCTATAGCCCTACAATTTGAATATAAAGATTTTATTAATATTGTTGTAAAATATTCGCCCTATGAAACAAGGCTTAATGCTTAAAAATTAGGAGCAAATGAGTGTAATTTACTCTGTGACGTAAAGCGAACACTTGTTGATTACTGCATAGCGTAATATATTTGGGTCACCCGGGCCTGCCCAAATAAAATAGCAAAAGGAAGATATATGCGGTGATGGGTTGCTTGCGTGCCTTTGTGCAGGGCTACTTACCCTCAATCTTGAAGAGTATCAGGAAATAGATGAAGAAGCACGTTCGTAACGAAGGCATCTTGAGTCGACGTTCGCTGGCCAGACCTCTGGTAAGACTGAACTCTGTTCCTTTCCACCGATAGAGCTTCTATACTTGAGTGAGAAGTATTCAAAACTTGTGGACTGCCATTAGTAGAAATTTCATTTGCTTTCATCAGCAGGCCTAGTTATGAAGTCACAAGGCACGCACGTTCTAGATCAATAAACCGAAACATTAAGGTTTACTTACACGCCTGCTCCTGGAAATTCCTATTCTGATATCTCTGAAAGTTTATCCGTCTTTGCTTAGTTTTTTGATTCCCTTGGGATTCCCTTTGTTACGTTTATTCATCACCATATGCGGTCATATTCAATCAAAAATTGAATTTATATTAATTCATTTTAAAAAACATAAAGCATGAAAATTAGATGCCACTCTGATAAGGGAAAAGTACAGAATTGCATGCATATTTGGGGGTAAAAGTGAAGTTGGAAGGATTAAAACTAATATATATATTAGTTATATATTAGTTATATATATTAGTTATTATATAGTCGTGTCCCATAAAAAACCCCCTCGTTGGTGGCTCCACCTTATCGTGGTGAGGGGGTTTGAGTATGCCAAGGACCCTGAGAGCTATGCCAGCGGTAGCGTAGCTACTGGCAGGGCCTCCCTTGCTGGACAGGCCAAAGGGTAGGCATCAGACGAAGAGAGACACCAAAAACTGATGCCGGAAGCAGCGTCATCAGCAGCGACTTGAAGCACAGAGTAAATAATGCTCGAGATGGTTCAAGTTCGTGACCAGAGTGGTTTGAACGCCTATTGTACTGCGATGTGGAAAGCAAATGGAAAAACTACCACATTATCACTTTTCCTGGATAGTCTCTTTCCAAAACCAGAGATACCATGTATGCGAGATGTTTCATTTGAAGGAGAAAGCTCTAGATCGCATCAAGTGAAGGAACTGTTTTGGAAGAGACTGTGGACCTGTCGTCTTGACAGATTACTGATGAATGAATATATATAAATTTTCACGTCTTTATGGTAGCGACTAGTAATAAAAGGATTTGGTTTGGATCACTGGATGTATTGACGCCTTCATCTTACAATAACTCTTAACTGCAAGCAGTTACAACAACTCACAATCAGCCTACTGTAGAGGACTCGCTCCATTCTCAATTTCCTGTTCCAACTCTCTTACAACTTCTGATCTGAACTATTGAACTTTCCTTTACAACTTCAGGAAGGACCGAATAGAGATCACCACCTCAAACAGTTCCTCTATTGTTGTGTGTTTATTCATTGCTGCGCAGACGTGTCTAGAGAGCTGTTGTCTAGCAATGGACATTTCTGCGGTGCTTTTCTGACTGCACACGTCAGGCGTTCAGGAGTCATGTCACAATATTTACAGGCATATGGGCATATGTTTATTTGTGATTTATACATTACACCCCTCCCTTTGCTGTAATCACCTCAAAAATTTTACTTGTGTTTACATGCATCTGTATAATTCAGCCCATAATTCCGCTTGGTAGGGATGGATTGCCTGGCCATTATCAATTCTCTCGATAATGGTACGTAAGGAGTGATTGGACAAATTTAAGTAAAGTACTGAGGGCCATCTCTCTCTTAGAATACTCTACAGTCTTAGGTAAAAAAATTAAAGGTATCCCTGTAACTTGCCGTGGAGGCCCATAATGTTGCGAGATGTTGAGGTTTCCACATTTTCTAGACAAACTGCTCACAGATGGACGTAAGTTTGTCAGCCCTAAGAGCCGGCCGCCCTTTACCCCCAAGACTATTCCAAGAATATTCCTGGTGGTCATTTCTGTTAGAGGCTGAGTCGACCCCAGGGCCATAGTGCGGCTGGAAGGATTAGGTAAATTGAAAAAATCCACTTCATCGGGATATGATCCTGCGACCTTCCGACTTGTAGCATAGTGCCTCAACAAACTACTTTACCGCGTGTCCCCTTGAAGAGTCTTAGGTACTCAGGCGATAAGGTATTTCCAGCAGAAGTATGTTAATGTCGCAGAAATGAGTTTTGTGTAACGTACCGGGCACTAAGATGAGGACTACTTCAAACCAGCATCGATATGAAAAAAAATTATCTACTAGAAATGACGAAAAAACTTAGTGCACTCATATGGATTTTCTATTAAGAACATCTTGGTTTAAGTTGTCATTTTTTACTTTAAATTTATTTGGATTTCTGTAAGATTGTTTGGATTTTTAGTTCAATATGTTTAATTTATACACGTTGTCGGTAACTGGGCATAGAGTACTGAGAAAAATATTACATTTCGCCTTGATATTCGTAACATGCGTTTAAACTAAATTATCTTCGATTAACCAAGTGCAATTTATCTGCTTATATTTAAGACTAAACAATCGTTTCAAGCAAGCGATTTTGTTAAGCAATGAGAATTACACTTTCATGTTGTCTTACTAATTATATGTATAATGTTTTCAATTGATACATCGGACTGAAATTGCCTGCTTCTTATTAAGCCGAAATGTCAGAGAGAAGTCTCCCACGGGACTGGCGATAATCTGTAGTTACCAGATGCTTACCTTCTCCTTTCAAAAAATTCTTAAAATATTTTGAAATCTCAGAAGGAATTCCATGATTGGTGGTGATGGTGACTTTGGAGACTTCCTCCTGTCAGCCTTTTACCTCTTTTCTCCTCCAGCCGTCCGTATCAAAAGGTCCAGAGCCTTTTCTAGTGGTTACAACTATCATTCGCGAGAACACAATGCCTAGATTACTGATGGGGAATATAGGGAAGTAAAATGAAGAGGGTAAAATGACAATTGGAGGGTGATAAAAATAGACTATCATGAAATTCAGCTTTGAAACCAATTAATATGTAAACATGGGCAGTAACCGGGTTGGTCCATGGGATTTCCTTTCTCAGTCTAAATAATGTAGTGACGATGATTTGTTGAAAAAAGTTTAATGTTTCTCAGACGGGATGCTTCATGAAAACGCTTTCAAATATTCTCAACGGATTACCGTTTACGATCGTAGACATCTCCGTGATGGAAATGGCAGTTTCGGTCTGATGTCCTGATGCTGTAGGTAGTCTGTGGTACTTAAATTGAAACACATTTGGAAATAAATATTAATTTATTAGCCTAATTTTAATTTGCGCAAAGCTTTACACTTCCACCTAGCTGAGCCCTGTGTCGACATTACATTACAGCAAGTCTATTTGCTTTTTGGCACATCCATAATTTAGTCCAACAAAAAACAAAACATTCCATTGTACATTCCAGCTTCATGCAGAAAAACCATATTTCATTGTCTTCTTCATTCAGTAGGGGAAATGCACTTAAGATTGCACACTTAACTTATTTATGCCCATAAACACATCATTGTTGTGACCCATGAGAAACTGAATTTATTTAACAAAACTCCCGACCCTAGGCCCCTTTGAGCGCCCTCATTTCCCCATTGTGTAGTAAAACAAATAAGCCACAATATTTGTACAATATATTTATAGTAGAAATTTCACATCTTAATTTATAATGATGCATTTTTGTCATATAATTTTTCATCTTAATTAAAATATTATCCGGATGAAATTACATATTTTGAAAAAGACTTTATATAAAAATTAGCAGCTCTTCAGTGAAGAAGATGCTAGTGCTTTTCTAAACCTCAAATTGGCACTGTAACTATACTGCTGTCGAAGAGTACCGAATTGGATAGTTTCCGGTGTCTACTGTAATCAGTTGATGCGATAACTACATCAGATGACGAAGAGAAAGACGAATAATAAGGTTTCTAAGATAAACCAAATTCGCCACTTAAGATATATCCTCCAGTGTGCCTCGAATCCTGGATTAATTTCCTCTTCATTAAGTGACTGAATGAAAACTGCTTTATGTTTGCATAGGCGGGTCAGATGTGGGGTTCTAACGGCGGTGTATGGGAAGGATAGGGACATGCCACCTTGCAGTCTACCTAGTAGAGGCTTAGCAAAGAGGAAGATGGGGAAGCAAGCAGTCTTATTGTTTAGCCCTGAAGACGGGGTCAGTACCTTCTTCCGAAACACCGGCAAACGTCTGTCATAATATACGGTACTCTCCGACTGTTTCTAATGTTATCCACTGAACATTCCAAATGGACGGACTTCTGTGTGTGCTGATTTAGGCTGCCCAATTGATAATCTCTTTCAGTTTTAATTATCACGATTGCAGGAATGACACAATAATGAATCTGTTGTAAGATGTCTTCAGATATGAACAGTATTTCTGCTGTTGCAGTAGAAGTCTGTTTCAGACGTTTACGTAATAAAAATTTTAACAACCCAGTACAACACGAAAGCCCATAAAGAAATGATCACATTCTGTCCACCGGCTGAAAAGAAAACAAGAGTGTAAAATTAGTTAAAAAAAACATGGATGAATTTAAAGTTATAAGAGTCCCAGGACAATGAAAAGAAAGCGGAACTCTAAACTTAATATTAATAAACATGGCAGAATTTACAGTTGTGAGGGTCCCAGGGCAATGAAAAGAAAGCAAGACTCTAAACGTAATTAAAATAAACATGGCCGAATTTACAGTTGTGAGGGTCCCAGAGAAACGAAAAGAAAGCAAGACTCTAAACTTAATATCAATAAACATGGCCGAATTTACAGTTGCGTGGGTCCCAGGGCAATATAAATGAGGAGGTCCTTATCAACAACAATATATTTTGTTTATGACAGGTTTTTTCTTTGTTATAATAACAGAAAACACAAAATAACTATTAGTGAATTTATAGAAGTAAACTTCTCACTAAATTCTGTGGTTTCTATCTCCATTTTGTATAGGGCCCTAGGTGATAGCCCCGGTCTGTCCTTAAATTCGGCCCTGATAAGAAACCAGATTACTTTCCATTTATTTTGAGTCTGCCTCTGAGTTAATTCAATACATTTCGGTGATATCACATCAAAATCACATGACGAATATATTTTAACAAAAGCCTAGGAGCAAATATTTCGTTAAGTATTCAGTATCATGTGAAATAAAAAATATTTCAAGAATTAAAATTCAGAATTTAATTCTCATGGATATAGTGGTTTCATTTTATGAGCATTAATTTCTGATGACTCTGCAAACAGAATATGATACGCCACCTGGCCAAGAGTGGAGAGGTGTAGGAATATTACGCACGCAAAAATGTAAACGACCTTGAAACCAATTATTATTTTAAAATTCTTCCTTTGTTTTGAGATTTTTTCAAACATTAATTTTGGAAACTTTATTTCTGTCATCATGTATGAGGAAGGAAAGAATCCCACTCAGTCTGCCACGTCACAAAGTGCTAGTCTCTGTGAACGAACACAGAAATAAATTTTAGGGACAGCGCAATGATTGAGACGAGGTCTCTCTACAGAGCTCACTTGAGTAGGAATTTCTCCTCTCACACAAGATAACGGAAGGAGATCCACTTTCGAAATGTTGTATTTGGAAAGAAACTCAAGAAAATATACCTGTCCAAAATAGTAGTCAGTTTTAGTGTCGTTGTATTTGACCTTCAAACAGCGGTCGCTAGAAAGAGTCCTGTTTTGGGGATATAACGCTGTGCAGTCCGGAGGATGCCGAAGGCTGACGGGCTGACATCCAACGGACTACAGGGCAATATATCTTATAACACACTGCCTGTTTCACAGCGTCCAGAGCGGCTTTGAAGCCGACCAAAAACTCATGTACAATATCGTACAGGTTGTTCTTTCCATGGGAATAATGCGGCCAGCTCGTCAGGCTAAGCACTCACCTCCATTTAGTGATTAGATCAAGAATTTTGGATATCCACCCCAATACGTGTTCATGGCATCATGATTAATTAATTATGCGCTGGGACGAATTTACATTTTCTATCCTTAATATGGTCACAGACATTTAGTCTGGAGGGCTGCCTAACATATCTAATAAAGAGTACAGAGTAACAAAGCTTAAATTATTATTCCTTGAAAGCCTGGAATTTCTGCAACACTCTGAACTCGTATTCGGGGAATCCCGGCCAAGACACCCGCCATGAAATGCTGGGAAGCCCCCTTGATTAGACCACCACGCATTTTCCCCAAAGTCATCCTTCATTAATCTGTTATTCATTCGCGCTTTACTGTCTACGTACTGAATGCGTTATCAAGACATCCACAAATAAAAAGTTTATATTGATGAAAGGAAACTTTAAAATTAAGTCTACTTTCATTTCGTTTGACCGACTCTGTGGTCTAGTGGTCAATGTTCCTGGCTACAGATCGAGAGGTTCGGGTACGATTCCCGGCGCTACCAGTTTTTTTTTCTTCTGAGAAGTAGTGGTTCTGGAACGTGGTCCACTCAGCCTCATGATGATAATTGAGAAGCTATTTCAAGGAAATAGCGGCTCCGGTCTAGAAAACCGAAACTAACGGCCGTGGGGACCGTGGGCTGACCACGCGACACCCTCTATCCGCAGAAGTTCACACTAAACTTCGCCGACAAGCGGCGGTCGCTCGGTCGGTATGGTTCGCTTACGAACTGAAATCACAGAGTTTTTCTTTTTCATTTTGTTTAGGATAAATCAGGTTGGATACCTCTGCAATAATCTTGAATCTGTTCGTATCCTTCAGGACAGGAGCATCTGTTGTCGCGACACTCGACCTTGCTGTGTTGATTGCTGGTCACGCACTGTGAGCTGTTAACGCACGGTTCTAGCAGACCTGCACACACACAAGGGACATCTTTATATCTGGGCACTATTCGTTACAAGGTGAAATACTTCATTCGAAACAGGTTATTCTCATATACCTCAATATGATTAATTTTGAACAAAGTAGAGTAAATTTGGTTGCTGAATGACCCTTGCACCGTGACTGCCATCTACTGTGCATAATTTCTAACCAACCAGCCAGCCAGCCAATTAAGTAGTAAACCAATTAACCACACCATACAGATTTCCCAAAACCACTTCTGTTCTTATGTACATGTTCATGAACATCACCAAGCAATCTCATTCTTGTATCCTATGCTGGCCAATACAGTATATTTCAGAGGTCCGTATCTAGGATACATTTATCTAAGATGTGACTTAATGAATTATTATTATTATGTTATAAAGTACGTCCCAGGCAGAGTGTACATGTATCCTGTTCCGAAGGGTTTTCGAGGTAGAGCTATTTCACTGTACACTGTACGCTGTGCAGACGAGCAACACGCCATGTCCTCGCACGAGTTGTTAAATGCCTTGATGTTGACGATGGGATATTCGAAAATGTGTTTTGGCGTATTTGCTCAAAGAAAAACTGTGGCGACAGAGAAAGGGCCGTTGTTAAGTAAAGTCAACACGGAACAGTAGAGGAGGTGTGACGCGTACAACCGCTGCTTTGGAACAATTGAGAATACATGTTTCCGCGTAAACGAATAGACGCAATAAGAGCTGTGTTTTCTGTGGGGTCAGTGCCGATTGGTTATAAAGAGAACAAGGCAGGTCGTTTGAGTCAGTTGAATTCCGGAGCTGGCAGTCGCAGCAGAGAATTTAGAGAGCCCCAGATGTTATCAGGTGGCAGAATAATTTAAGAACAATGACAAGAAAGGAATGAGGCTGTGTAAAGGCGACTTCATAGCTTCCTGCAGTTACCCTGAGATTCTTATAAATCCGTTGCTAGAATACGACTAGTGAGGACGGAGGGCACGAGTGTAACGGCGAACTGTAAAGAGTGGAAATAGCAAGAGCGCTATAATTAATTGTAGATAACATTTGAGTGAATAAAATGTCAATAAATCCAATAATCTGATTCAAAATCCGTTTATATATTACGCACACCCCATAAACACATGACTTTCTGGTGTCAGAAGTGGATGGATTGGAAACTGCACTGTATCTTGGTCGTTATACCGTCACATTACAAACGGGGAACAAACGACGGAGTAAATACCGGAACCCCTGTTTGCTGACCGAAAACAAATGATGGCAGAAATGAATGCTGAGATGGATAGTAGCCAAGATGAAGTGTAGTCACGACTCGTGTATTAAAGTGGTCAATAAATCCAGTCTCCAATCAAAAATTCCTTCGATACTCGCTCATACACGTGACAATACCTTTACCAGGACGAGTGGGGAGTTGCCTGGAAACCATAAAGTAAAACATTTTCTGTCATCCCGCCCTTGAAATATCATTTGGTTGATTTCCGTTCCTCCATTTCACATTATCTCTCTCTTACGCTTGCGAAAGGAGTTGTCAGTAAAATGTTATGGTACAGTGACGTGGAAGTTGGGATATTATACCATTTGGAGCGAAAATATTTTCGCGTGTCTCTTGGGAGATGAAATTATATACGTATGGACTTACTTCTGTATATCTAATTTCTTCATTTAATGATTAGCATAGAAATTTCAAGAATGGAATTCTTTTCCCTTTGGCGCTACAGCCCCAATTTGGGCCTTGGCCTACCTCCATGAAACTCTTTGTTTCATTTCGGTTTACTAGATCTTAGACATTCGGTAGGACCCTTGGGCGGATGATCATCTCGTCGCAAGGCCTCTACCTGTGCATAAACATAGAAAAATGCACACCCACACACACACACACTAAACATCCGTGCCCTGAGTGGGATTCGAACCCACAATCCTGGCTTCCGAACGAGTGAAGACAGTACTTGCCTTCGGCCGCTCGGCTACAGTGACAGGCAGAATGAAAATTTAGTTAGGTAATTTTTGTTTTCAAAATGAATATTATTGTCAGTGCTTTAAGAAAAATCATATCTCACTGTCACACTTGAATGTCTTCACCACATACCACACAGAGCCTGAGATGCGATAACCAGAGGCTATACAGGTCTCATTATTTAAAGAATCCCATTTTAATTATGTCAGTACCTTCCAAACCTTCATATTTCATGGACTAAAAACTCTGGTCAATTTATTCTTAGAATTAATTCTAATACCGACTTGATACTAATATTAATATTGTTATTTTTATATTTACTCACGGACATCCCTGATACAACGTCCGTCTAGCGTCGAATAGTGGTAGTTCACTTGACAGCCGCATTTCCCTTCCCTGCAGACGGCGTTGTCGACGAGTCTCGACTCGCACTGCACAGCCTCCTTACATGTTTCCTGGTAACCCATGTCTGCAAATGGCGCACGAGTCTACCGCATTACCTCTTTAAATCCCAGTAGTACTGTGTGTACCGTACAAGACTCTAAACTTGAGAATTGTGAGGAATGCAGGAAGTCGGTACGATCGGTACCATTAAAATTATGGTAGCAGCATGGATCAGCAACTGCTACCTGAGCCAAAACACAGTTGCTTTATTTGCGTTCAGTTGTCCATCACACAAATAAGTACCGTATTTACGCATGTATAGGCCGCACATTTTTTGCCAAAAATTCAAGAGGAAAACTGGGGTGCGGCTTATATTCGAAATATTCGAAATCACACACATTTTTTTCGTCAACTTCGAATTTTCTCCCTGCTGCTCGATTTCCGTATTCTTGTGCGTAACGCACGACTTGAAGTTTAAATTTAGACGTATAACCTGCTCTTACTCGACCCATGTTTCACTCAGAACTAAGCAGGCAAGTCAAGTAAAGGCGAAAAGGTTATAACTCTCCCCCGCAATGCCTTTGTTCCGAGAGGTACCGTTATTTTCGCTAGTTGTGAACTTGGGAATGTTAAACGTTGCCAAATTTCGGAATAATTTCTACTCCTTAAATAATATTCCAAGAAAATTATTTTTTCTATAATTTCTGTCTGAAAATTGTGCTGCGGCCTATACATGCGTAAATACGGTATATTTCCTTCCCTTCTCTTTTAGTCGGTCCCTTCATACACACACACTGCTTTCTCACACTGCAAGTGTCAAAATTAGAGTCTCAATCAGTACCATCTGCTTTAACATAATGGAACTCAACATTCTGCCCACAGAGTGTATTTTTGTGTTTCATACGGCTCTCACAGTATTTGTTTCTTTATAGGCTACACGATTTGATTTTCCATAGCATCGGAACGAACATGAGGAAGGAGAATGGCACATTTCATCATATTTTTCGAATACTTTCTTTCGGATTTCAACCAAGATATTTATTACATTTTCTTTTTGCAGAGCTAGCGACACTACATAAAGAAAAAAGTGAAAGTAAAATTGTCCCAGGTAAAGTTAAAATAAAAACAAAACTACCCATGTATCGGACCATGAAGGCCCATAGGGCTGTGAGAAGTCGAAGATTCTACATTTTCTACATAAACGGCTCATTGATGGCTGTGAGAGTGCAAGCCTTCTTCGCTTGCTGCCCTTTGCCCCGTAGGATGACTCCTGGTACTCGTTTCTGTTAAAGACCAGAGTCTACCCTAGGGTCATAATGTGGCTGGAAGGATTAGGGGCAATTTAAAAGCTCAATGACCTCATCGGGAATCGAATCCGTGACCTTAAGGCAACCAACGGCCCTACTTGTCCCTGCAGTAAATTAAGCACTACACAGTGAAGACGAATATGGAGTCGAATCAAGTAAGCTCCAAAATTCTTAATCCCAGAACTAAATGGAGGTGTGGACAGCTTCACGTCCCGATCGCTTTGGCCCAGGTGTCTCCTGTATGAATTGGAAAGGAGTCTGCCTCTGCCGGGGATAACAATAAAACCACAATTCTGAACAATTAAAACACAATAACTCAACGAAAATAGCGGTGTAAATGAGCAATTGAGCTTCAAATGTTTCCCTCTGAACATTTACAGGTTGGCCACAACACTAAAGTTCCCTATGGTACAAAAGAAAAGGAGCAAAATTCAAATTGATATATGTGTGGTATACTGCTGAAACATGTACAGGCAAACCATGGGGGCGTGGCAGCTGAAACACGTGCGCAGGGTAATTTAAATTGCCACCTCAGGTCCATTTAAATGGCTCGAGGTTAAAATAGCTTTCATGTTACGAAATAGCAGGATATGACCAATTTTATTACACAAAAATAAAAATTTGTGATTTTTCATAACTTTCCACCAAATTTCACAAATGCATTACATTAAACTCATCCTGACATTCGAGCTAGAATAAGAGGCTACTGGGCGAATTCTGAACAATATTCCATTTCCTTCTACGGTAACCAAACGAAGGAATGAACGAACCGTTTACAACCAGGAACACAGAAATATTTCTGTTATATGAACCTCCCATTCAACAATCGCAAGAAGGGAANGTACGTACATCATATGGGAACCTGAATATTAAATAAAAAAAAGTAAAGTAAAGCTATCCCTGTAACAGGCCGTGAAGGCCCATAGGGTTGTGAGACGATGATCAGAAATACGAACTTAATTGTTTCAATTGTCTTATTTTATAATTCTTGCTGTAATTTCATATATACACGTACCTATATGTAAGAAGGGTCACGCGGTAGCGTAGGTGGTTGAGGCACTATGCTACAAGCCGTAATGTCATGAGTTGAAATCCAGATGGGGTGGACTTTTCAGTTTACCTAATCCTTCAGCCGCATATGGCCCAGCGGTCTACTCAGCCTCTAACAGAAATGAGTACCAGGAATCTTCCTGGGGGGATAAAGGGTGGCCGGCGTATAAGGCTGACAAATTTATCGCCATCTGTGAGCCGACTGTCTAGAGAAAATTTGGGAGCCTCGATGTCTCACAAACCTATTGGCCTTCATGGTCTCTTACAGGGTTAGCTTTACCTTACCTTTAACTTTTATGTAAGAAAAGTGATGTCATATTTCTAAAGAGAACTTTTTCCTTGCTATATAATGCGTCGATTGTCAGCGGATAATAAAAGTTGAAATTTGGGGTGGTCGGGGACAGGTGATTCCAATAAATAAAACAAATGTAGCTAAATTTCTTTAAATAGGCCAGATGCAGATGCATGACCGATGTAGAGGAAGATTTATGAAAGAAGAAAATAAAGGGATGGATGTAAATGCAGATTATGAAGAAAATTTGACATCTTTCATAGAGTGGGCCAAAGTAATTAAGGAAACATTGAGTAAATAACTTCTTCTTGACCTATATAAGGACAGATATAAATGCATAGTCCTTAATGTTTCTTATATTTTCAACTCGTTTTTCTTTAATATTAGCAGAGAATTTGCTGTTCCTGTCACCTTACCGGGTAGACATTCCCGCTCATCTTCACTAGAAGAGTAGCCGTCACTGCAAGTGCACGACCCATCAAAGCTGTCTCGTATAAAGCAGCTTGAATAGAGTAGGCTTCTGCAGTCCGAGTTATCGAAGCAAAGCCCACTAGTAGCTGTAATCAAGCAAAGATAAATTATGGCTGGAATTCTCTCAATTTTAAATTATCAGCTCATTACTTTTTTTGTACTTTTCATTTAACAATGCGCCTCTGTGGTCTAGAGCTCAGCGTTCCTGGCTACAGATCCAGATTTCCGTGTTCGATTCACGGCGCTAGGAGATTTTTCTGAGATATAGTGAGTGTGAACGGGCTCCACTCAGCCTCGTGATTATAATTGAGGAGCTATTTCAAGGAAATACCGGCTCCGGTCTAGAAAACCGAGATTAACGGCCGTGGGTATTCGTTGCGCTGACCATGCGACACCCTCTATCCGCTAAAGTTGGCACTAACTTCGCCGACAAGCGGCGGCCGCTCGGTCGGTATAGTTCGCTTGCGGACTAAAATCACGGAGTTTGTTTATTTTTGTTTGTAAATACCTGAGACTATTTACTAGATAATATATAATTGTCGGATGATAGTGAATAATGAATTGAGAAGAATATGAACGGACCCGGCATGTCTTAATTTAAGCTACTGTACAGCATTTGCCTTGATGGACTAACGGAAACCTTCCGAAAACTTCTACAATAATCGGTGTTCAGACCGAGATTCAAAAAAGGAACCCCTCAAATACAAATCTTAAACACTGCAGGTTCAGACAATTTTCTCGATACACCGCAACAGCATATGTCATTGAAAAGTGACGTGGGGCGTTGGAACGGAAACACAAAACATTATCCTCTAAAGCCCCTTCCTTATTATGCCTGTACAATTCGATTATCTTGAATGTTTCACACCATGGTAAAGTTAAAAGTAGTTATCCCTGTGCTTTGGCCAAGCCATAGCTCAAGCTGTTAGCCGCTGGCTGCCCACCGCGGCCGCCCGAGTTCGATCCCGGGGTCTCGTCAAGTGGGATTTGTGGTGAAGAAAGCGGCGCTGGGGCAGGTTTTCTCCGAGTACTTCGGTTTCCTCTGCCAATCTTCATTCTACCAATTTCTCCACAGTCACCCTCACCTATCATCTGGGGCCGGTACAGTAGGCCAGAAATGACCGCAGTACAAGGGCCTTAGTCCCACCCCACTAGCAATAAAAATTATATTCCTGTGCTTGAGTAAAACAGAAAACCCTGAAGATATATTGGGGAGTGAACGTATCGCAACACATACTTTTATATCCTCTACATGATAGACGTTAATGGCCGGGGAAGAAAGCTCCCGTTGCTCATTGAATAAGAGTAGTACTGGGGACCTACAGCAAGTCTGGATGTTTTAAATAAATTCCTGGCTTCTCTCATGCATGATCCCTTAGTTCTTCAGTCCATACTCAATCTGTACATACTTAGCTACCCCGGCCCCCATTTATTTTGCAAACAGAGTAATTTAAATATTTCACTATATTGGATAAATATTATATTGTTATATGATATTATACTAGAAATTGAAACATAGGTCTACCTGACTATAAATATGTAAACACTTCTTCTCTCAAAGTCGGTCTGTATGTACATTCATTGAGAACTTTTGAGAACATGGCGCTGGAGCGAACATGTGGGCTTAACATAGAGGAGATAATAAGAGGATGAAGGAGGTAACACAAGGAAGTTTGTTCTCTTCAGCAGATATTAACTACTGAAATATAACAGTATTGAGACGAGTGCTTCTTGGGAAGCCACCATTTCCTTAGTTATTCGAGACTTTACTAATATTTTATGAAACCCTATGGTTCATTACCGTGTTCACAAGAGTCTGCCACAGGTTCCTATACTGATCCAAATTAATATAGTCCGCATCACCCCATTCTATTACTCTAAAAATCTACTTAAATCTCATCCTCAAGCGGTTAGTCGCTGGCTTCCCACCGCGGAGGCCCGGGTTCGATCCCGGGTCTGGTCAAGTGGGATTTGTGGTGGATAAAGTGCCGCTGGGGAATGTTTTCTCCGAGTACGTCGGTTTCCCTTGCCAATCTTCATTCCACCAATTGCTCCACAATCACCCTCACCTATCATCTGGGGCTGGTACAATAGGCCAGAAGTGGTCGCAGTACAAGGGACTTAGTCCCACCCCACTAGCAATAAAAAAAACACAAGAAATAGGCGACAAGCAAAACACTGCCTGCCACCTGCTTCTTGCGGAGTATATGGTTTTCACACCTTTCAACCTTGAAGATGGAAGCAATTCATTCTTCCGAGATGTCGATTAAATTCTACCTACTTACTCGGTGATTCGTCCCAGAATATGATACACTTAACCATCATATTCATCTGTAGCACACAGTATTTTCTTATTCACTAAGATCTCGATTGCCTTCCAACTCACTAGCAATGCAGTTTCTTCTGTCTTCGGTAGGATAATGTCCTCTCCAGCATTCACATCGCCCGGTGGAGGGGCACAGCATTTGAGCGGAAATGCAATTCCTATCCACTTCGCATTCTTCCCCGATCAGAGCGTTGATTCCTGTAGATATGGAACGAAACACTTAAATGTTCACACCTCGTATTTGTATATATATACATATATCGGGTGCCCGGATGAAAGATATCAAAATTTAAAAAATTATATCTCAGAAAGTAATTGTCATACACGTATCCGGTTTATGCCATCGGAAAGGAAAACCCTATACGGCTTACGCGCATGCGCTGCCACATTTCTGCCACCATGCTAGGAATCACTGAGATGGCTGAGAGACAGATCGGCAGAAGTGGATCAATTGCTTGGCCTCTTAGGTCGCCAGATTTAACCCCACTGAATTTTTCTTGTAGAGTTATGTGAATAACATTTTCTACCAGGTTAAGATCAACGAGCTACAACACCTGAAAACCCTCATAAGGGATACTGTGGCTATGGTATATATAAGAGGCAGTGAAATAATGAAAACGGGTCACCATACATAATTCACACGGCGAGCAAGTTGGTAACACTGGAATTTGCTTACGGTACGAACATATGATGAGGATTCGGGAAAGCACAGTAACAACGTGCCCTTGCACACTAGTCGTTTGTTTTTTGTGCTTGAAGTAAGGTTAGCGCTACGTATGGTCGTCCAATGTCAGTAATGGAGGTGGATAAAGTAGAACAGCGAAGTGTAGTTCGTTTTTTGACTGCTGAAGGAGTAGGAGGACGAGAAGTTTATCGTCGCATGTCTGTTGCTTAGGGCGAACACAGCATGTCACGTTCGCTTGCGCTGGAATGGCATAAGAGATTCCGAGAGGGACCTGTGTCACTGCAAGATGATGCTCGCCCGGGACAGGCTCATAGTGTCATCACTCCTTATGTTATTGCTGCGTTGGATGGTCATATCCGGGCAAACCGGCGGATCACTGTGGAAGAAATTAGTCTTTTTATGGGAATAAGTCACGGTTCCATACATGCCACTGTGACAAAACACCTGCTGTACCGCAAAATCTGCGTGCAGCAGGTTCCACATCAACTCACATAGGAACAGAAGACTCAGAGAATGGCTGCATCACTGCAACGATACCATGAGGAAGAGAATGCTTTTCTGTCCTGTATTGCCACTGGGGACGAAACTTTATGCCACCATTTTGAACCCGAGAGCAAACGGCAGAGCCAACAGTGGAAACACGCGAATTCTCCCCCGCCGAAGAAATCCAAAATCGTATTCACAAGTTCCGGTAAAGAGATGATGACGTTCTTCTTCGACTGCAATGGCTCTCTGCTTGTCGAATTTCTTGGGCATGGGGCCACGATCAGTGCACAACGCTATGAAGACGCTTTGCAGAAAGTGAGACGTACCATAAAGTCAAAACGCCCTGGAATGCTATTGAAAGGCATTATCTTTTTTCATGATAATGCGTGCCCCCACACTGCCAACTCTGTGAAGAATACGTTACGCTAAAAGTGGGAAGTGCTTCAACCCCCCCCCCTACAGCCCAGATATCTCCTTATGTGATTCTCACATTTTTGGAGACCTGAAGAGAGACATTCGTGGACATAGGTTTGCATCGGACGAAGACGTGTTTGGCTGGGTAAAGACAGCCCACAGGCTTTTTCAAGAAGGGGATTGACCGTCTTATCTCTTAGTGGGATAAATATATTAACAGTTTTGGAGATTACTTTTGGGGTTGGCGAATTAAACTCACCGAATCCAAATCAGCACATATTGACTTTACAAACAAGAGGATTGCACAACAATCAATCTTCATCAATAGCACTCAAGTTCCATACGCCAACACAGCGAAATGTCTTGGAATAACTCTAGACGCCAAGTTACGGTGGGAGGAGCATAAGTAAGATAATGAGCTCAACAATAAGTTCAGAAAAATGTATTGGTTGCTTGGACGCAATTCAGAGCTAGCAATCCACAATAAACTTACATTATACACACAAACTCTACGTCCAGTTTGGAGTTATGGTATCCAGTTCTAGGGCTGCGCCAGTGAATCCAATATTCAAGTGTTTCAACGCTATCAGAACAAAGTGCTAAAATGTATTGTCAACGCACCAAGGTACGTTCGTAACAGTGACCTTCATCGTGTCCTTGGGATCGAGACGGTTACGGATATCATCGCTAAGTCCGCCACCTCTCATGAAAAGAGAATCCAAAACCATGTCAACGTTGAAGTGTCCAGAATTCTCAACGTGAACAATATCATTAGACGACCCAAACGGAAGAAACCGTTCGAACTAGTTAAATGTTAAAGTACTAAGTAGTTCAGTGGAAGTGACTTAGTTTTAATTTACGTAGTATATTAGGTTTAGAAAAAAATAATCGTTAGTTATCCAACAAGTTTTAATTGTAATTAAGTTCTGGGTTACCCGTTCTTTAATTAATAAAAGAAAACTTTTGAGGTAAGAAATGTTCTTTATTATGTTTTGGCTGCTGTCGGAACCAGCCTTGTTGCTCTTGCATGAGAAAGCGCGTCCCCATTCTGCCAACAAATAAGTAAAGTAAAGTAAGGTAAAGCTATCCCTGTAACAGGCCGTGAAGGCCTATAGGGTTGTGAGACGTTGAGGGTCCCACATTATCTAGACAATCGGCTCAAAGACGACGGTAAGGTTGTCAGCCTTACGTACCGGCCGCCCTTTACTCCCCAGGAAAATTATTTATTTAATTCCCAGTACTCATTTCTGTTAGAGGCTGAGTAAACCCCGGGGTCTAATGAGGCTGGAAGGATTATGTCAACTGAAAAAAATCTAATGACCTAATCAGGGTATGAACCCGCGACCTTCGGGCTTGTAGCGTAGCACCTCTACGCTACCGCGTGCCCCAAGACAAATAAGACGGTGTGGGTAGTCCTCGAGCATCCTCCGTATAGCCCCGACCTTTCTCCGAGCGACTTCCCTTTGTTTGGCCCTCTTAAACATCTTTCGGCTGAACATTTTCCCGACGATGAAGCTGTAGAAAGGGAAGTCACCGCCTGGTTCTGACAGCACCCCCAAAAAATTATGCTTCTGATTTTCAGGGGCTTGTGAAACGATGGGACAAGTGCCTCAATGTACAGGGAGATTATTTTGCGAAATAAACGCACTTTTCAAATCAGTACTCTTATTTGTTAAAGTTCTATATCCATTTGTAACTTACTTACTGACTTACCAACGCACAATAGATCAACAACTGGTCGCGGTGCATGGGGAAACCCACTCCCTCTAATAATGAATACTGACTTTTTTTTTCCTTGGCAATACAGCCCCAGTGGGCCTAAACCTACTACCTCCATGAACTTCTCCGTTCACTTCGGTATTTCTAAATCTTACACATTCGGTAGGACTCTTGGGCGGGTGATCAGCTCGTCGCAAGGCCTCTACCTGTATACAAACACAGAAAAACGCGCACACACAAACTAAACATCCATGCCCTGAGTGGGATCCGAACCCACGATCCCGGTTTCCAAGCGAGCAAAAACAGTACATGCCTTAGACCGCTCGGCTACCCTGACCGGCGAATACTGACTTACCTACGTAAAATAAGCAGTAAGGTAAGGTAAAGTTGTCCCTGTGCTTACCTAATTAAGCACTATATTTTGAAGGCTTATGGGGAGTGTATGTATAGATCCACATTTTCTTCACCTCGGCACTAGTCGGAGCTGAGCCGCCAGCTTCATGCCCTTGCCAGTTTACCCGCGGGGAAAGAGCCCCCCGTACCGTAGGAAGGTGGGTGGGCCCCAGAACCGATCCGGACGACGTGGAGAAGATAAACTTCTTTACCTGAATGGGACTCGAACTCCGACCTCTCGGTCGTCCAGCCCATAGCCAGTAGCTATACCGACTGCGCTAACACGGCCCCTTAAAATAAGGGGTACTACTAGCTAAAGAGGTGGCGATTTTCGGTAAGGGTTGCAGACTGCAATGCCAACTGAAGCATGGATACTTTGTACTGCCGTTGATGGCTGCCATCTTTCGGGTCTCTTTATAACTGTTGTTAACAAGTATTAGTATTGTAATTGATGAATTTATTGACTAAATATCCCTGTTTTAATATCTCAATATAGTTTAATTTCAAGCCAGTAAATACAGATGATAGCTGCACTGTCCCATCCAGCGTACATTTTATGACTATTTTACCTGTTACTCATTATCCATTTGTGATTCTCTTCCACATACCTTCTGCTTCACATGTAGCAACCAGTAAGAGGACTACAGAGCACAGTAAAACATCAGCTGCAGAAGTCATGATGCAAGGTATCCGTTTTTCTTTAAAATATGGGTTAAGCTTATATTTCTTTGAAGAAACTAACTTCAAATCGAAAAACACTTACTCGTACTTAGCCATGGGCTAACTGACTGCTAAATTCTAACGTACCACACATGTATACGTGAGCAAGATAAAGCTTATCTTTCTTATCGATTAAGATAAAGAGTAGACCCAAATGAAATATTTTCCAGATAAATCACAACGAATTTGAATGCAATTCGATATAGCTTATGCCATGATTATTCTAGGCATGAGTTTGTAACTACCGCGAATTGGATACATGCGGAGCTGCAAGCAGGTTCATGGCCGACCTAGCTGGTTCCTCGCTCGTGGATTTTTCTTCTCTGAAGATGGGGCCGATATGTTCCCCCGAAACGTCTATTCACACAATATATACACGGCGCCACATCCCAGAAGACGGCATTCTTAAAGTCACCTCCGTGAAAACTTCAAATCTTACATATACTCTCTGTAGCTTTCATATGTAAGTAAGGAGGTGTTGGATTGATGTAATGAATAAAATGTTAATACTTTACAGTCACTGGTGAGAAACTATCTCCTGATGGACATGGGTGAAGAGATATTGAACTCAGTAAAATGGAAAACGAAATAAGAACCTCTGCAGTATAGGAGATCAGCATGGGAAAATTGTTTACAGTTATTCTTTGAAGTAATGGTTCGAAGGGGTGAGGGGAGTACACATAGGCTAGTGTTATGATAGCATAGGCTAGGAACACACACACGTCCGACGTCCGTACGGTTCATGTCGCATCAGGTAGTAGAATATAAAGTGTAGTCTTAGCTTTCGTACGTGACGACATGCGATATCTACCGTACGACAGTCGGAGAGTAAATAAATGTATTTGGTCGCTCTAGTGTGAAAAGGAGGTCGTACGGCAAAAGAATCGTACGACATTTTTCCGTACGACCGATGTCGCTGTGTGTTCCTAGCCTAACTCGTACTCTCGCCACTAGTGGCGACCATTGTGGAACGTTGGACTTGCACCTGAATATAGATGACAGTATTAATGCCTTCGTGACGTCATGGTAGCTGTGTTGCGAGCCCATAAAATCTACAGTAATATTATGTAAGATTTGAGGCTTTCACGGCGGTGACTATGAAGAAAGCAGTCTTCTGGGATTTGGCACCGTGTATATGTGGTGTTAACCGACGTTTCGGAGGAACGTATCGCCTCCATCTTCAGGGTAGAAGAAAAAGTATAAGAAATCTGCAAGCGACAAGACCGTGTTGCAGATTTCTTATACTTTTTCTTCTACCCTGAAGATGGAGGCGATACGTTCCTCCGAAACGTCGGTTAACACCACATATACACGGTGCCAAATCCCAGAAGACTGCTTTCTTTACAGTAATATTAAATTGCCATTGGCTGATGTTTTTGTTATTATCGTAGCCATCTTAGCTTATCGTAGCGGACGTGGCTGATAGTCGTCAGCGTCGTCAGTGAAGTAAGTGAACGTCATTGAGCGGTTATTGAGTTTGGAAGGTAATGGAACGAGAAGAAAAGCAGAAGTCAGGGGGAGGAAGTGGTATAACAGCAGGAATTATCTGTAGTGTTATTGGAGCAGCAATTGGTGCATTTGGCTACCACATTTGGAACAAGAAGGAGGAAGTGAAACATTCGCATTCCAAGTACGTTACTATTCCACAGTTAAGTTTCTGCCTTTTCCTGTTTCATGATGGAGAGGTTAGGTATTTTTTACAGTCTGCTTTTTGTAGGCAATCTTTTTCACAGACATGTCTAGATAACAGTATCGCATAGTGCATATGCTTATTCTGTTAAGTCGGATATCTTTACATAAGTGTAACTGTTTCCAGAAAATTTCAAGTTATTTGAGGTCAGGCATATTTTTACAATGTTTGTTTTTAATATATGCTCCATTTAAATTTCAACGAGATTTATGTTACTATACAGAGTATTTTCTAATATATTAACACTGTATAGTCAAAGTCTAAAATAATTTGGCTGTCTTGTCACAGACCCAAAAACGTGTACAATGATGATGGAAGATGCCCAATTTGCTTGTCACCTTTTGAAGAGCTCAGAGTTCTGCCTTGTGGACATCAGTACCATAATGCTTGTATGAATGAAGGGGAAAAATATAACGTAAGTCTTATTGTGTAAGCTGACAGGACAAAACAGAGGTCTTAGTTGTGCAAGGACTGCAAGCGAAAAACATGGATACAAGAGACTGCATCAGATTTACGAAATATTCCATTTTTTAACAATGAAGTGAATGACAAATTATTGTAGTGAATGTCAAATTATTGTAGTGAAATTAAACCACAGAATATAATTTATTTATATTCCTAAGATCCTTCGTAGTCTTAAGCCAAGGATGTCTGCACACTGTTTGAACAAGTCGGATCGTCCATGTTTTTGTCTCCACCCAAAATAACAATAATGATTCCCAGGGTATGCCACCACTTTTTGCATGAATTACACCATGTTGAAGAATACAGGCTACAAGGTAGTAGGTTGATTGAGGAGTAAATGCAGAAAAACACGTTCATGGTGGTGATTTATTTGATGACACTCAATGTCTAGACTATAGTGTGAAGTAGTAGGGTGATTTGAAATGAAGTGGTCATGATCTAATTGAGTAACCATCCTGGCATGTTACTCGAGTGACAGAGGAAAACCAGAAAACCTCTGAATAGCAGGTGTCTGCCCGAGATTTGAACCAAACACCTCCCAAAAACAAGTCAGGAGCATTGCTACAAGGCCAACATGCAAGCTAATATACATGTGTTGTCACAAGAATGTGTGAAGTACTGAAACTCCAGCCTTAATGAAACCATAGTTGAGCATACTTTTCAGCCACATGACCAAATTATTTCTGTAACTATTATCCTCAGTCAGTTCATTCTTGTGACTTTGATTTGAGGTTTTCAGTCCCTCAGACAAGGTTTAGTTTTATTTAAATAGATTCTTGAACTCTCAAAACAAACAGATACTGAAGTAAGGAAATCCATGTTTTAGGCATCAATGAAGTTCCTCTTTATGATGTACAAGTTGTTGTTTATTGCACTCTGCATACTAGGACAGTAAAGGGTCCTGTACTTTAAACAGACACAATTAATTCTGAGAGGGGCATGTAAGAAATAAAGTGAAACCTCAATTTTACACTTTTTTAAGAGACTGCCTAAAACAAATGTAAAATTGAGGAAAGTGTAAAATCAGGGAAATGTGAAGGTAACAACATAAAGAAAACTTCAGTCTTCTCCATACTGTAACTTCGGAAAATAATTTAAAATATATAAGTTTAAATATAATGTAAATGTAAATATGGTTCTTTGTCTGTTTTACAATACTTCATCAACTGCTCTGTAACATCAGTAAGGTGAGATGGTGCTTATAACTGGTGAATGGAAAGGATGTGGAAGGAAATGGTAATGACCTGTTTCAAGGCACTATCCCAGCATTTGCCTAGAATTACTGGTAAATACGATACGTGCTTAGTTATGCTATTTCTTGAACCAGTCAATCTCCCCCCCCCCTTGAGCTCTCAGTTTTTATAATTCATCTTCAACTCTTTTGCACATCACAATAATATTGTTCTTGTTATCAGATTGACATCTGTACTTTCTGGCTGATTCCAGTCGTTCAGTGAATCCAAAAATGTTGCTTTATGTTCTGCAACTTCCTTTTCGTCTTCTGGTTCTTCTTCTGGCCTGGTCAAGGTTAGTTGTAACACCTGGTCGATACTCACGACTCCACAGTCCTTCAGAGTACTGTCGCATGTTGGATAGTCCTCAGACTGCACTCCAAGAGGTTGTAAACAGTGCCGTTCATCCTCTTCATCTTCAGTGAGTGTCAGTGCACTCTTATCATTGCTGCTGACATTTTCAGTCAAGAAGCTACGCTTAACAAATCAGGTTCTGCTATTAGGTGGATTGCAGACAATATATCCAGCTTACTCCCATGTGGAGGCAGGGTTGAGTACCTCCACCGTAGCCCTGCACATCATGGGAAGCAATGAAATGGAACCCAGTGCCTGGGGGTATAATCAGGCCACCCTATTCATACAGAATGTAAATATAGGGACCTTGCCCTCCAGGTTGCAGAAACGTAAAATCTGTTGAAGTTTAACATTATTGCTATTGACATTTTGCTGGGACCATGCAAAAAATACTTAAATTTGCAAAAAAATGTAAAATTCAGGATTGTAAATTTCAAGTTTCATTGCATGCTGTAAGTAGACCAGTAAACCTCAATTAAGGGTGTTGCTGGAGTCATTATAACTGCAACTGATAAAGTAGATATGACAGCGACTAATACATGGTTCCCATGAACTGTGACCGCCCAGGAATGTGCAGTGTAGGACACTAACTCCATGAGGCCAAGCCCTTCTTGAGAAGCTTGTAGTCGCTCACGTAGTCAAAAAAAATTCCAACTTGTTATGAAACCCAAACTCAGGAGCCTGTTACTAGGCTTTAATTTTAGCAAAATGGATCGAGTCCACAACCTTGCATCTATTCTTTATGATCTGTTTTAGTGTCCTGTCTGTATCTATCTAGTTCACCAATTTGGTTGTAACATTTTCTGATCAGAATTTTGTAGACATTTCTCATCTCTTTTCTTTGCTCCATTCCCCATCCTTCACATCACCTCGGATTTTATTATTATAATAATAATGGTTGGTGAAGAGTACAAATTGTTAAGCTCCTTATTAAATAATTTTCAGTCTCTTCCTGCCACTTCCTGTCTTCAGAAGGTAAAGTGGAATGGTAAAGTTGTCCATGTGCTTAATCAATTAAGCTCCATGCCATGGAGATATATGGGGAGTGGGAGTATAATTCCACAATTCTTGACATCAAAAGTAGATGGAGCTGAATGATAGCTTCACACCATGGTGACATAATGCCTGTGGTACCCATTGGATAGGAAGCTGGGTGGGCATCAGAGCTGGTCTGCATTCTGTGGCATAGAGAAAAATCTCTTTCCTCTGCCAGGAATCACACCCTGGTCATCCAACCTGTAGCCTGTCGAGCCACCCCAGCTTGACTTCTGTCTTCTAAAATCAAATATTCTTCATAAAATCCTGTTCCTGACCACCACACCCACTACACAACAAAGTTGGGGCATAGTAAAATGAGAAACATACTTCTTAAGAATAAAAAAAATGTTAAACCATATTGTACTGTGTTTTGTAGGCTGCACCATAGCTCAAGCAGTTAGTCGCCAGCTTCCCACCGCGGTGGCCTGGGTTCGATCCCGGGTCTGGTCAAGTGGGATTTGTGGTGTACAAAGTGGCACAGGGTCAGGTTTTCTCCAAGTACTTCGGTTTCCCCTGCCAATCTCCATTCCACCAATTGCTCCACAATCACCCTCACCTATCATCTGGGGCTGGTACAGTAGGCCAGAAGTGGCCGCAGTACAAGGGACTTAGTCCCACCCCACTAGCAATAAAGAAATAATGTTTTGTAAGTTATGAAGCTTGTAACTAAGTGACATTGTACTGCAACATGCAAGAAAGACATGATCTGTTCTGATTAATCTTAAAATGTGATTTCTTTTATTGTTTACAGCTTGAGTGGTGCAGCCATGGACATCACCTCTTGCTAGCATGGTTTTAGTGTATGACTGTTGATATGCATCAAATTGAGACAGGCTTCATTATTTCTTTCAGACGGAACGGAAGTGCCCCGTGTGTCGCCAAGCATATACTAAATGACGATAGTGCAGAAGGGATGCCTCCAGCAGACACTGAACTTTTACTTTGAATTAATCAAGAGCAAAATGTAAGGAATGTGATAAAGAGCTGTTGTCACTGTCACTGCCGTCACTGTTGTGTTCAGAGCCCACCTCTTGTCACTATCCTGTACCAAATGAATCCAGTCAACACCTCCCCATCATATTTATTTAAGAACCATTTTTATAATATTGATCCATCTACATCTGGGCTTTCCTAGTCTCTTTGTATCAGGTTTCTCATACCAAACCTGTGTATCCATGCTGCTGTCATGCATACTACATGCCTTACCCATCTTATTCTTCTTGAGCTGACCATTTCAGTAATATGTGATGAGGAGTAAAAGTTATTAAGGTCCTTGTTGTGCAGTTTTATCCAGCTTCCTATTATAACATCCCTCTTAGGTCCAAATGTTCTCAGCAACCTTCCCTCAAACACCATCAGCCTTTCTTCTTCCTTTAATGTGAGAGACCAAGTTTCAGATCTCTACAAAACCATGTGCAGACAAAGTTGAAGTTCCGTATATTTTAATCTTTATGGTTTTAGATAGCAGGAGAGGAGACAAAATGGTCAGAACTGAATTCCTCAAATTTGATCTGCCTTCAGTTTCTTCATTAATCTTAGTCTGAATTTGTTGCTGTGTGCTACCACATGTGTGAACTTGCCATCTTTTTTGACGGATCAGTGAGCTATCTTTAGGTTATGATTTCGCTCTGCATTCTGGTTAAAGACCATTGATATATACTTAGTCTTTTCTGTATTTTCTTCTAGACCAGCCTTCTTACTAGCATCTCTTGAAGCTTCATTGATTCTCTTTAAGATACTTAGGCTATCAGCAACATAGGTGTGCCCCATTCAGTTTTATTCCTGTCTGGTTTTTTCTTTGACATTTTAATGGTATATTCTAAAGCAGCCATGTCAAACTCAACTTGTACAGAGGGCCACCTCAGCCCTATAAATATAGTCCAGGGTCGCACTTCAAAATAGAAATATACATTAGATTTTGATACAAGGAAATTTAATTCTATTTATTATTTAGGAATAATTTCAATATAATTACCTGAAGTCACATATCTTGTAGTTTTAAAAAGCAAGATAATGCCATTTTTGACAAGTATCAAACAACTTTTCAATATGTAAAAAGAGAGATTACACAAGAAATTATGTTACAAATAGCAAAACATCGAAATAATAAGATCAAAATTACATGTGTCGAACTTCATAAACTGTTAACTTGGAAGACAAAAAACCAACAACTATATTGTTTCACTTTAATATCGTTAATAATATTATTCATGAATGAATTAAATTACCAGTTCAGTGTTTTTTTGTCTATTACGTCGCATGTTTATTCGGTTTGTTATTTATTCAGTGTAGTCAGTCAGTGTGTTTTTCCTGAAATATTCGAATGGTGGTGATTGATGAAAAACTACATAAACAATAAAAATTGCTACATAACCAAATGAACATTTATTAAACTACTTACATTACTGGTTTGTACTTGAGAACTGGCGTCTTTTCCGGGATACAAGAGAGTTAATGTCAGCTAATTGACTCTGTGAAGATTGTATTTTTAGGATGGAAGACAATTGTTCTGCTGTGAGTCTTGGTCTGTGCATGGTTTTGGTTGCCTTCACAAGTGAAAATAACTGTTCACAGAGGTAGGTGGAACCAAACATGGCCAGTATTCTCGCAGCGAACTGGCGCATTTTAGAGTACTGGCTTGGCGAATAAGAAAAAAATTGAGGGATACCAATTTCATTATATTTGTCTTTCAGTATTGAATCACACTGCATTTCAATTAGTTCCATTCGAATGTTACTATCTGTCTTCTGAACATCGAATGGGAATGGAGCAGTAAACAAAGAGAAATCGTTCTCGCACGATTTGAAATCTTTAAACCTATTTTCAAAGTCATTAATTAAGTCCTTTATTTGGGAAACATAACTGGTAAAATCAGAATTACTGTGGGACTTTTTGAAATCCTGGCAGGTAGGAAAATGAATTAAGTTGCCATTTTTCATCTGTCCTTCCCAAAGTTTGAGCTTTAATTTAAAAGCCTTAACACACTCATACAATGAAACTACAAGCTGTCTTTTCCCTTGTAGCTTTAAATTTAAGTCATTTAAATGCCTGGTAATGTCCACCATAAAGGCCAAATCCTGAACCCAATTATCGTCACAAAGTTTGTTGGGTGATTCGCCTTTCATTTCCAAAAAAATCTTAATTTCTTCTCAAAGAAGCCAAAAGCGCTTTAAAACACTATAACATGAAAGCCAGCGAACTTCTGCATAGAATGGTAGACTCTCAAATTCACATCCAGTGACGCTAAGTAAAGAAGAAAACTGATGTTGATTCAGTCCCCGAGATCGAATAAAATTTACTACTTTCTTCACAAATTGCAACACATGATTCATTTTTATGATTTTTGAGCACAGAACTTCTTGGTGAATGATGCAGTGAGTATGGTGAAACTTACAACTAGGACAGACTTCTTTCTGCTTGGCCATTAACTTAGCAACAAATCCGTTCTGTTTCCCCGTCATAGAAGGAACCCCATCCGTTGCTACACACACAAGTTTCGATAACGGAAGATTGTACTTTTCTAAGAACCCATACACTTTGTTAAAGATATCCTCACCAGTTGTTGTATTTTTAAGAGAAATTATGTCTAGTAACTCCTCAGGTATAATTAAGTCAGTATCACAGGCCCAGATAAACATAGCTAATTGTGCCACACCACTAACATCTGCACTTTCATCAACTGCAATAGAAAATGCCGTGAAACTTTTAACTTTTGCCAACAACTGTTCACTTAAATTAGTCGCAATATCATCATCTCTTTCGGCAACAGTGTTTCGTGACAAGGAAATGTTTTTGAAAATTTGAACCTTATCGGGACATAACAATTTCTGCGGTTTTTACAAGACACTCATTTACAAATTCACTTTCGCTAAAACATTTAGAATTCTTTGCTATAAGTTCTGCAATTACATAGCTTGCTTTAACAGTGGCTTCATTGTCTCGTTTCACGTTCGTAAACAAAGACTGTTGCTTGACGATTGCAGCCTTAAAATCCCGTAATTTATCTTCCCTTGACTTTTCTTTATACTGGTCGTATTTTTCACGATGGGTTTCATAATGCCGCCTTACATTGTACTCCTTTGGAACACTTATATTTTGCCCACAAATCAAACATGTAATTTTACCTTCTATTTCACAACAAAAATAAGCAATTTCCCATTTTTCTTGAAAACACAGCACTCACTTTCAATAGTTCTTTTTTTGCAACTTGAATTTTTTGAAAGCGACATTGTTACTATTTAATTATAGCCTTTATACACGTTCATCACATTGTAACATCAGCACCTGTCGTTATGTGAAAATGAACTTAATGACAAAGTTTGCTAACAGCCCATTAGACAGTGGCTGGGGTTGGCAAGCTAGTTTTGAAGGTAGAAATCCCTTGCACTTGTCTGTCAGTTGCCACCCTCCTTGCATTCTTAGTATGCCTCCAAAAGGGATTCTTGGAAATACTTGGGGTGGTGAGGCTGTGCGGATTTTAGTGCATTAACCTTCTGAAATACAGTAGTTTGTCCTTCACGAACTTTACAAACCGTTAGTTGGACAAACCCTTCTGCAATTCCCAGAATCACTGTTCCTGCAGTCTGCTGATTTATGTCTGCGTAAGACTTCTTGTCTTCTGGTCTGTTGGGAAATTGTCTTTACAAAAAAATATTTATATTAAAATTTTAATATTGATTTTAATATCAATTAGCTCTAAAAGTTGAGGGGCCACGCTTTGTGGCTATAGGGGCCGCATGTTTGACATGGCTGTTCTAAAGTAAAGTTGAAAAGCAATGACAGTGAAGCATGTATATCTTTCAGACAATTTTGAATAGGAAACATATCAGACAAATGCTTGCCTTTGCGGACCTTACTGTTGGTTTCATTTAAACACACGGTAATAATCCTAACTAGTTTCATGGATGTACCACATTCAGTGAAAATGTATATTGTACAATACTTCCCTCCTATCTGAATGATAGACTTGAAGTTTCTCCAGTATTTTAGAATGTAAGAAATTTTATCAGTAATTGATCTGTTATGTTGACGCCCAGATTGATAATCCAAAATCATTTTGTCTACACTCACAGTTCTCTGAGAGATATTTGGGAAAGTTTTATATAACAGTGGTTGCCTCAATGAATGGTGTAGTTTGTTTTATCACCTTTCTTGTAAATATGTATAATAGACACCTTCCACTGCTCAGACAGCTCTTGCATGTTCCAAATAAGAGTTAATTTGTTCATGGATCTCGGATCCATTGGCCAAATGTGACTTTTTTGGAAGTGTTTGCCAAATCCCAAGGCAGAGGGACATTGTGATAGTGTCTGCAGTTGGTTGTATGCATTGTATATGGCAACTGTGCAAATTTGTGTTGCAAATTAATAAAGTGAAAGAAGATATGAGAAATATAAGCTAATAAAACTGGCTAACAGCTCCTAAGCTTGCCATTTGTGTTTTACCTTATATGTAACTTTGATGTGACGATTGTTTGTATTGTTCTAAAACAGAGTCACAGACAGTCAGACAGTTTTCTAAGTCTTGGAAACATTTTTTCTTAGCTGTCATTAATGATAACACATTTGACCCTCTCTTTTCTCTGAATGCCTTGTGGGTAAATGTGGATCCTCTTCAAAGCAGAGAATTGCCACTTGATGTGCTCTGTTTGCTAGGATGATTAGTAGTAAGGCGGATAATTTTGTGACTTCAGGTAATCTCATGCCCATAGTTGAAGTAATGAAGTATTTCAACATGTGAAAAATAATACTTTGTGAAACTTCTTATGCAAATTAATAATGGAAAGCCCGGTGTCAGAAGAAGAAAATAGGAATACAGAGAATGCCGCCTTTGGGATGTGGCACCATGTAGTTATTGTGATAACCGACGTTTTGGAGGAGCGTATCACCTCCATCTTCAGCGTATAAAAAATGCTCGAGCGAGGAATCAGCCTGAACATGTGGCTGTAGACTGCAGACTGTAGCCACCTGCTCCTTCACACAAATTCTATTCTATTCTGCTCAAAAATGGTCTTTTGCTAGTATTATGTTAAAAGACTGCGAGAAACTTTTAGGACTTGAATGATAAATGAGTCCTTATATTTTTCTGTTTGAGTGTGAGGAGTTTCTTAGATTACTTTATTGCATCAGATCTCATGATGCTTAGAAGAGCCATGAAACCTGGAACATTCCCAAAATATTGATCAAATCCAAATGCACTTTGCCTTATAAAATTTAAATTTTACCTTGTTTTATATTTCTTGCATGTGCAGGAAATGAATTAGGTCAGTTTGTACAGTGGTGTAATCAATGTCACTGCTACTTGGGTCTACTTCTTACTCCATTCAAACTTTAAACGCTGGACTTTTAAAATTGCAGTAGATTGAGCTGGCTGGAGTTTATTTAAATGCCCACTGCTGGCATACTCTGCATTTAAATGTCCCTTCCTGTTAGGACACTTGAACTGAATTAGAAAATGCTGTATGTAATATAATGTTTATGATGAATGGAATGAACTTGGTTTTTGTCAGCAAGGAACACAGTGTTGCATATTATAACGTTAGATTTGAAAATATATAGACAAAAAATTATGAACTAGTTTTAATTTTATTTCTTGTATGGTTGATGCATACTGTAAAAGTCGTTCCCCGCTTCTTCACATAGTAGTACTGAGTTTTAAAATCATTCCTGCGTGTAGCTTTGAAATATTTTTTAATTCTCTGGTGCCATAAAACAGCTGGAAGCAGTGAAGTCATTTGGTTCTCTGGTGGCAAGTTTCACATCTTTGTTACACTTCAGATATTCCAGTCTTTTAACTTACGGAAAGAAAAGTGAAAACATGGCCTTTCAAGAAAGACTAGAGGAAATATTCATTGTTTCCTACTTCACTGCCAAGCCCTGCCATTTCAGCTTCAAAAGAATATTGCCCTTCCTATGGTCGCAACCAAACGCTTGCATCACAGCAAAAATATAGAGTGCATTCAGTTTTGTGAGAGTTCATAGTGAATTTGAATATTGTAGTTTCATTTTATCATGAAATGGCAATGAAACGTTGTTTGGAAGATGATAAACTTGAAAGGCAATTGAAATACAAGATATGTGATGTGGGACTGCGCTTTCTTGGGTGCTTCAAGGAGTTTTACACAAAGGCGCGATTCAGATAATGACGCTTGGGGTTGAAGCCTATATATATGTTGAGCAGATAAAAAAAAAGTACGTATATTGAATTTTACTGTATTAAAAAATAAATATTTAGGATCGTGCATACGCTTCTACTAGCGGCTTTTAAATGTCCGAATGCACAAATCAGGGCACTTTGGATACGACTATCGTCGTACCAATCGGTATATTTCGGACGTTAAAGGTTCATTTATTTACGTTAGGCAAGTTATGAAGTTATGCTTATGATAATTATATTTGTGGGATTTGAGGTTCTCACAACGGTCGTTATCAAGAGCTCTTTCGTCTGGGAAATACCGTGTAGTCCGTTGAAAGTCTTGTCCACTTTCAGGCTCGAAATATAAGCAAAGCAAGAAACCAGATTGAATCAGGATTGTTTCATATTCCTTTGAAACGTCCGTTGACTTCTGATTGGCTAAAAGGCGTTATATCGCAACAGACAGAAGTCTTCATAATTATATTTGTTTTCTGGCCTGACTACAAAAAGTTGCTACAAACCACGTCTCGCGATTGCTGAACACTCCGTATTTGGTTTAAAGAACAGTTTGAAAAATTAACTAATGGTTAAGGATGGCCATTATATTTATGTTCCTGTCAGAAAAAGAATCGTCTTTCGTTCTGTCATACATTCGTACAAATATTCGCCAAACCCAGGGCCTGTGCTCTGAACTATGGTCTGTATTGCATTACATTTATTGGACAACACGCTTCATGCGCGTTTCCCTCAGAAACTTAGTAGTCTGTGACAAATCACAGCTGCCTCCTCTGCCTTCACTACGGTCATCCGCGCAACGAAGTACGGATTAATCTACGAAGTATCCATACGCATGTTATCTGTGCTCACGTCGAAGATTGGGAACTCTGTTCAAGTGTGGGGGTCAAGCTGTCGTATGGTCCTGCGATTTTATGCTCTCACGTCTTAATATCACGATAATATTCGCTCAGGTACGTTTGTCTGTTTCCAAAACTGCCCTTTGAGACCGGCAGGAAAGTTTCAAAATTTGCTCGTATTTATAGGAATGTACAAACATAACCTAACATTATTCAGGTGTGCTTAAGCACCGCACGACGAAGACGTATGAAAGAGTGGCGGTGTAGCTCCACCATCCAGCATTGTAACACAGATGACCGCAGTATAAATCTTCATCTCATTTGGAAACCCCAAATCTAAAGTCGGAGCTGTTTATGGTCAAAGATTTAATAGAAACATTGAGCGGTCCACTTCATATTTTATCTGGCTTGTTCAGTACTGAGAAACTAATTATGTGACAAATTGTTTAATTTCCACACCACGCATTCTGTGCAGTTAAGTTCATGGGCAATAAGTAAACATTGGGTCATTATATGTCAAATCAAATAACTAAACTAATATGGAGCTCAACCCTTCTTGAGAAGCTGCCATTTGTGCAGCTGTTCAAGAACTACCCAGAATTATATGGGACTCGAAGATTCATTACAGTGTTCACAAGAGCCCTCCACTGGCCCCGTCCTGAGCCAGATTGAACCATTTCATACCACCCCATTCTATCTCTAAAATCCATTCTAACACTTCACCCACCTATGTTTTGGTCTTACTAGTGGTCTGTTTCCTCCTGGATTTCCCACCAATATCCTATATGTGTTCCTCTTCTCAATTCATGTTACATGCCCTGCCAATTTCATTCCTCTTGACTTGATCATTCTAATTATATTCGGCAAAGAGTGCAAGTTACAAAGTTCCTCGTTATGCAATTTCCTCCAATATCCTTTCACTTCATCTCTCTACAGTCCAGATATTGTCCTCAACACCCTGTTCTCAAATACGCTCAGTCTGTGTTCATCCCTTAATCTCAGAGACCAAGTTTCACACCCATGCAGAACCACAGGCAAAATTATAGCTCTGTATTTTCTAATTTTTATATTTCTAGACAGCAAACAAGAAGACAAAAGTTTCAGGACTGAATGGTGGCAAGCAATACCTGAATTCAGTCTCCTCTTAAATCAGGTTTTGATTTATTATAGTCGTTCCCAAATTTCTGAACTGTGCCACATTTTCAAAACATCTGCTATCTATCTTTATGTCATGATTTTGCCATCCATTCTGTTGATGAGACAGCAACATGTATTTAGGTTTCTCTGTGTTTTCTTCTAGACCAACCTCCTTACTGATGTCAATTAAAGTTTGTGTGCTTTTCTTCATGGTATCTATATTACCACCCAGTAGATTCACATCATCAGCATAGACCAACAGCTGATATATTCTATTTAATTTCAGTCCTCCCTGATTTTCCTGGACCTTCCTAATGACATATTCTAAAGCAAAGTTGAAAAGCAGTGGCGATAAAGCATCTCCATATTTCAGATCATTCTGGGTAGGAAAATTACCAGACAAATATTTACCCATATAGATGTTATTATGTATTTAATTTGAACAGATTTTAATCATCCTAACTAGTTTCATGGGTATCCCAAACTCTATCAGAATATTGTATAATAATTACAGTAATTAACTATACAATACAGTAATTATCAGTGATTATTTGTAATATATTTTCAATTTATATATATAATTGTTGTATTTAAAATTATTATGGCTCATATTTTATTAATCTTACTAATAAAAAAAAAAAGTAAAGCTATCCCTGTACCAGGCTGTGAAGGCCCATAGGGTTGTGAGACTTTGAGGGTCCCACATTATCTAGACATCTAGACAATCAGCTCAAAGATGGCGGTAAGGTTGTCAGCCTTACGCACCAGCCATGCTTTACTCCCCAGAAAAATTCCTGGTACTCATTTCTGTTAGAGGCTGAGTGAACCTCAGTGTGGCTGGAAGGATTAAGTAAATTGTAGAAACTCCAATGACCTCATTGGGACTTGAACCTGCGACCTTCCGGTTTGTAGCATAGTGCCTTAACATGTGATCTACAAATTTAGAATCAAATTTTAATAACCCAGATCAGTTTGTCATTTACTGATAATCATAACAAAGATGGCTGCTGATGGTACAACTTTAAACATGTATTGAAGAGGCTGTTACACCTCTCTGACTTGTATGAACATTTAACATAGAACTGGTTATAAATGTGTGATGCCGGAAGACACCTAATTGGTAATTTAAGTGATTATATGAAATTGTGACTATGTTTTTATAGTAAGTTATTTAATTCATGTTTTAATTGAAGTCTATTTATTATTATTATTATATGTGATTTTATGATGTAATAAGTTTGCCTGTCTGCAACCTGCAAAATTGATGTTAACCTATTGTTGCAAATAATGGACTCATACAATTTTTGTATATGTATTTTGAAGATTATTTTGATATGTATTTTAAGGATCATTTCCACATCCTGGTTATATACTGTATGGATCTATGGAGAAGAAATAAAATGAATGAATGAATGAATACTTCTCTCCTAACTGAATCATATGCTTTCATGAAGTGTACGAATAGCTGATGCACTGTCTCATTGTACTCCCATTTTTCTCCAGTATCTGACAAATAAGTGATCAATAGTTGATCTGTTATGTTGAAACCACACTGATGAGCCCCAGTAGTTTCATCTATGTATGGATTTAGCCTCAAGAAAAGGATATTGGATAAAATTTTGTATGAAGTTGATAGCAGTGATATCCTACCATAATTATGTCAGTTTGATTGCCCTTCTTGTTAATTGGCATAGTAATAGATTCCTTTCACTGATCAGGCAATTCTTCCTTATTCCAAATAGAATTAACGAGTTTATGGATCTCAGCCTGTAATGTTTCACCTCCTGTTTGAAACAGTTCTACCGGAATTTTGATCATTACGTGGCGATTCATACATTTTCAACTTTGCAATAACAGTTTCAACCTCAGAAGGACTGGGATCAGGTACTAATTGCTGAGCTGCATGTATTTCTGTCTGCCTAACATCACTGGCCCTACATACATTCAGTAACTGAGATAAGTAGTTTTCCCACCTGGTCGAAATATTGTGGGAATCTGCAAGAAGATGGTCGTTCTCATCCTTTAGTAAGTTACATGTAGGTTGGTAACCCCTCTTAAATTAATTTATTCCTTTATATGTGTCTCTAATGTGCTTGTTCTTACTGCTTGTTGCAAGCTAATTAGTTTTGTCTTTCAGATATTCCCTCCTTTTTTTTCCTGAAATGCCTGCTGGTTTCACATCTTATATTGTTCAGATTATCCCCATATATTTTACGTGGATCTTGTAACCATTGCAGTTTGGCATGTTTCCTTTGATTTAATAACTTTTGAGCATCCTTCATCAAACCCAAGCCCCATGATTACCCACCTCATCATCTAAGTTTTCCAATGATGTGGACCTATTTGAGATTTCAGCACTATAATGCTCTTTACCTTATATCTTGATTAATTTCTTGAGGTTGAACCTTGCCGTATTAACTCTGTGCATTGTTTGTTTACTGACTGCCAACCTTTCCCCAACTTTTACCCCCACCAGGTAGTGGTCACTATCACAGTCTGCTGCCCTGAATGATCGAACATCAGGTACACTTGAATGATTTTTCCTGTCTATCAAAATATTGTCAATTTCATTGTGAGTCTTTCCATCATATATACAAGTAAATTTATGAATGTTATGTTATGGGAGCATTGTCGTGTACTTCTGACAGATTTTTGGATGTGGCAAAGTTTACTACATTGAAACCATTATCATTATTAATTTCATGCAAACTCTGATTCCTCATTGTTGGTTTGAAAATGTCTTTCCTACCTACTTGGCATTGAAATCTCCTAACAAAATTTTTGTATAATATTTTTAGGGAATTTATCGAATATACGCTCTAGTTCTTCATAGAAGTTGCCCTTCATATCATCAGTTTTATCCTTGATTGGGTCATGAACATTCAGAACAATGATATCACACCAGCAAAATGCTCACACAACCAAACTCTACCCTCTTGACTGCTGATATGGTTATGTACAAAAAAAGTACCTAATTAATTTAATATAGAACATAAAGTAAATATAATGGAAACTATTTTTTGGTTGAGGCACTATGCTACAAGCCCGAAGGTTGTGGGTTCAAGTCCCGATGAGGTCATTGGATTTTTTTCAATTGACCTAATCCTTCTGGCCACACTGTATCCCTGGGGTCGACTGAGCCTCTAACAGAAATGAGTACTAGGTATTAATTAAATAATTTTCCTTACTGCCATCTTTGAGCCGATTGTCTAGATAATGTGGGACCCTCAACGTCTCGCAACCCTATGGGCCTTCATGGCCTGTTACAGGGATAGCTTTGCGTACTTTACTTACTTACTGTTTTTATGACACTTTTTGTGAATTATATTTGTGTAATTGCCAAATTCTCAACACCAAAACTACACTGGAATGCTGGAATTTGTCTATATCACAGCATGTACAGTAGAAGACACAAGTATTAAAATGTATGTAAAATTGTAATTGAAGAAAGGGTGAACTAAAGGTGGTCACAATTAATGTTTGTTCATGAAGTGCCTAAGAAGCATGGTGTCATACAGTTAGGTTATACATGGGAAGGCAGGTATGTGGCCTCTATGTTGGGCCCCATTTTGCCTCTCAACATGTATATTTACTAGCAGGGTTTTTTACAGTTCTTGGTTTGAGTGTCGAAAATAGGCAGTGTGGTTAGTCAGAAATCTGTTGATTTAAAAACAAATGTTTTATTTAAATGCACTCTGGAAGCTTAGGTCAGATTAATTAAGTTGTGTGTGCTGGAAATGTCCTGTAGTTAGGAGAGGCAACAATTTATTTTATACTTCTACAATTAACACCTGGCCAAAACATGGTCAAAGTCTATTTCCACTGCATCTTAAATTGCTCTAGAATATGCTGATAGGAACATTCAGGGAAATAGAAAAATGCTGGAATTGAATGGCCTAATCAAAAATGTATTAATGCTGATGATATTAATTTGTTGGGGCTGATATAAAGCATGATGGAGAAATTCTCCTATAGGTTACTAAAAAAACTGGTCTGAAATTAGCAGCTTAAGACTACATAGTCTTGAAAGTTGTAATTTTCTATTATCATTACCACCAACACAACAAAAGTGTGACACTGACACTGTTCAGGATATGTACTTAAAATGTTGTGTAGTGGTGGAGGCGTGAGAAATATGCTGTTCTCATCAAATAAAAAGGAAACTAACATGTTCATGATTGCAGAAACTATTGTGATCTGTTGATGTTAACTGATGAATTGCTGGAACTTGAGACATGAAATTTATATGATGTATTCAAACATTTGCTAATGGTATTAAAAACTGAAAGTTTAACCTTTAGTGCCTTAAAATGCCTTAATATTCTAGCTTCAAAGTAAATTTCTGATTTGTACATTAGAGAGTCTTAGGACTATAGCAATTTACATGTCTTCTTTTTGCCTCTGTACTACCATGTACCACCAAACTTTTCTTTTCCAGGGCATTTGTCTCTTTTCATTTGTAAAGTAGGCATAGATGTCGTCTCACATAAAAATGGTGTACTCTGTGACAGCATTATGCTTTTTGAGATGTGAATTGGATGTGTAGAGGAAACTCAATAAATTCCTAGAATACGAAGAAATAGTGCCAGAGATGAATAAAGGGAAATTGTAAGATGGGTAAAGTATTTAATTAGGTATTATGCCAAAGCACAAGAACAGAGATGGAACAGTAGATCTTTGTAGTGTGCACAATCATGATAAGTTTAAGCCCTAAAGATGAAAGTGAGCAGATGTTAAAAGAGTGTACAGAATAGCTGAAAATGAGTCTTTTTCATAAGAAGGAGAGAAAGAAAAAAAGAAGTCTTTTGGAAGATTGGAATATAGACTCAGTTCTGCCCGAGAGTCAGGTCTGTTATGAAGAAGAAACTATGGAGAATGGAGAAACTATATTGCCAAGCAGAAATACTGATGGATTACAGCCTTTAAGTGATGGGGACTGCACTCCTAAAAAGCATAAAAGGAACAAGAGAGACAAAAAGGAATTCCACAGTACAGAAGAAAATCAGAATGCTAGTGTGTCACAGTGCGGAGAAGAGTTGGAAAGAACAGAGAAAGGAGCTCTATGTACAGTAAAGAATTTGCCATCAGAGGGACAGGAGCAGATTGAAGCCCAAGAATTATATGAAACATTACTGGCTGAAGCTGATGATGTCAATACAGAATTGCCATCCCACATAAAAGAGGTAGGAATTCCATTTTACATTATTCTCTACTAGGTGACAATTCTGATATTTCCAAAGAACCCAATGTACAGAAGAAGAGCAATAACATTTTCTTGATTTAAAATCATCTAGTTGTGAGATTTGAGGTTTTTGTGATGCCAAAAATATAGATTATGGTCCTATATTTTATTTCAGTGTTTAGTCTGTTAAATGGCATTAGTATTTTGGAGGAACAATAAATGACAATGGTTGTACATAATTTTAAATACCCTGCAGCACCCCTATACTCATATTCATTATCAGTCAAAATCTTTCATGTAGCCTCACACATTGACATTAAAGGGACTGAAGACTGGTGACTGCAGTGACCAATTCTGCTGACTTCAACAGCAAATCGAATGATCATGAAGGCACTAATTCAGGTATATCAGATATCAGTTGGAATGCATGGATGCTCCATGGCATGTAAAATCTTGTACAACCATTAAGTCTCATTTCAAACGAGTTTGTCGTGTCCAGAAAACCTTAACTTTCTCTTCCCCTAGCTCTGTAACTGTTGAGAGTTGTTATGTTTTGGATATAACACTTTCCATCTAAAATGACCTTAGGAATAGCCTTCTGAAGTTATAATATAAAGTGTGAAATACCTTGTATGAGTATATAGGAAGACTGCCTCTGTGGTCTAGTGGTCAAAGTTCCATTCTACAGATCCAGATGTCCAGGTTCGATTCCTGATGCTACCAGATTTTCTGAGAAGTAGTGGGTCTGGAACGGGGTCCACTCAGCCTCGCGAGGATAATTCAGGAGCTATTTCAAGGAATGGTGACTGTGGCCTAGAAAACCAAAATTAATGGCCATGGGGATTCGTTGTGCTGACCATGTGACACCCTCTATCTGCTAAAGTTGGCACTAACTTCGCCGACAAGCAGTGGTCGCTCTGTCAGTATAGTTCACTATGTTTTTGTTTGATTATATAGGAATCAGTGTCATTTGATTGCCATTATGAAGGTGCATTGCATCAAGTGGTCACGTGGCACATGTTAAGGTAATAATGAAATCCACATTAAAAAATATAATTTATTATCTCTTGTAGAGTGGGTTCATAATGTACCCTTTCCGCTTGTGTGCTTAAGAGCTGCTGTATTGAATTTGTATTAATAGTGACCATGTGTGCATTAGAACAAGGCTCTGTGTCTCCCTTGGTCTCACAGTTAGTACTGGAACATGAGCACGTCTGCCTTGTTGCTGACTTGATGAACATGATGACTAATTTGTGAAGATTCAAATTTCGGTTAACATTTCTGCCTCATATCCAAGCGGTTTCTGGCTGTTGTTACTGAGTTTTGTTGTGGTTTTAATTAGTCACTCTAGGCGAATGGTGGGATAGTACTTTAATAAAAGATTATAACTACTTCCTTCCTAAGTCATTATTTGTGAAAATCATCATTTCTCAATGAATCCTATGCAGCCAATGTAGTTGACAGAATAACCTTCATTTGAACCAAGAAGTGAACTGAAAACCTGCACTTTTTGTCCTTATGAACATGTTTTATGTGGGTTTTATTTGGTCTGAGAGCACAGGTTATGTTTCTGCACCTTGCAGGCAAAAGTGTCTTGTTAGTCCACATCATATGAGAGGAAATGAGCATCAGCTGCCATGAGCAGAATTGTAAGCAGTGTTGCTAATCCTCAGACTGAAAACATGTTGAATTAATTACTGGCATGTCATATACAGTTTCTGTAGTCTTTCAGATTCTTATCATCTGAGTTGACCCTGAAGATGGAAGCAGCATTTTCTCCAAAATGTTGACATCCACCTACAATAGTACATGGTGTCACAATCCAAAAGACCACAGTCTGAACAATCACTGCCATGAAAAGCTCAAGACTTCTTTTCTCTTACCCATCCATCCTCACTTGACCTGACTGCTGTCTCCAGAATGGTCTTCTCACTGTTTTCTTTTACTTTTTTCAATATTTATGACTATTTTGTTCACTTGCCAAAACTACCTCCATCATCATGTTTCTAGATGGCTGCCTAAGTTGTACGTTATATGGTTAAATGTTTCATATTTCTGTGTTATTTGGTCACTGTATTTCCAGTAATACCAAAGTTAGCCTCATCTGTCCTCTCCAATGTCAGACTTTTTTATTACTTATTATTATTTTGGAAGGGGTGAGTTTCCCCATGCACTGTGACTGGTTGTTAATCTGTTGTGCGTCCCCCTTTCAGTTTTCTACTAGTCGCCATGCCCTTCCAGTACTGGTGCTCACTATCAGCGAGGTCGGCCACCTCTCTGGCAGTGGTCCCCGATACTTCCCCATCTACCGGAGGAATTGGAAACTACTACTTGGGCGGGAAACTTTGCCTAATTTTGCTCAGAGGTCTCCTTGAGACATGAGGATCTTTTACTCGTATGTGCCGTAAATCTATGACACAGGACACACGGCTTAAAGTCCTTCCCAGAGGACTTGTTCCCTGAATTTTTCTGCCCTTAAAATTTCCACAACCTCCGCCGGGTTTGAACCCGCATACCTTGAGTCATGAGGTGGGAACGTTACCCCTAGACTATGGAGGCCGCTAATGCCAGGCTTAATGTTTGCTTCAGTTCCTTTATGACTGACCTGCCTGTTCCTTTTTGCTCACCCTATATATTTGTTTCCTTATGGCCAATAATTAGAACTACTCATAGTTTTTGGAAACATTTCTTTGAATATTCTATCTCCTAGTATGAAAATTTCCAAAATAATTACTAATACTTTCTCTAGAATTAGTAAAACTTTGAGGGTACTTGAAATTATTCATGTATTTTATTACACTACACAGTAAACATGGTTATAGCGCTTGCAGTTAAAAAAAACTGTGCCCCAGTTGTATGTAGCCTTACTTAAAAAATTTCTAACCCTGTTTCAGAAACTAAAAAGGATACAAATACTAGTGCCATTCGATGTTCCTCAATCCCATTGTGTTGAAACACGTTTTACACATGTACCTACAGAAGAACAGAAGAGACAGCTAGCTGATCTTGGTGTGCAGTTAAAGTACAAGAAATTTTCTTCATATGAAGATGCCATTATTTGTAAAAACTGGGAACATTTCAGCAAAGTAAGTATGTTTAATATTTATCTAAAATTTGTTCTGGTGCTTCTTAAGTGTCAAGTATTAAAATCATTTATTATGTTACAGGAGTATAATTTTGAAGATGTAGAACCATTTCTGTTATTTGGACATAAACATTTTTGCTGCTTGAAGTATTCTGAACGGAAACATTTTGTCCAGTATGTGGGACATGGCCTTCCACATCGTACATTGTATAGCATATATGCAAGATTTCAGATGTTATACAGGCCATATGTAAAAGGAAAGTAAGTAAATGGAAATTCAAGTAATAGTACGCTTTTTCAACTACAGTATGTGCCAAAAATAACAGTACTGAAATTAAAAAATGAACAATATTACCTTGCCATCATCTGTCAGTTTATTTCTCCTGAAAGAAACTAACATACACACTATCAGCATGTTGATTTGCCATGGTATGCATAATGTAAGTTTTCGAAGTGTGCACCACCTCGCTGTAGACAGTGTTCGTATTGTTCATGTAGATTCTCAATCATATCCTGGAACAAAGGTTGCTGCAGACCCCTGCAAAAGGAGACAATTTGCTCGCGTAATGCGGGCACAGTTCTTGGTGTATCTTCACAGTTGAACACACTCCCCTTTAACATTCCCCACAAGTAGGCGTCAGGTGGTGTAAGATTCCTCAAGAAATCTGGAACCTTGTACACCATGGCCAAAAATGTTCCACAATACACCATCCTGGATTGCATATCTGACTCTGTCAAGCATTGTCCAACCTGTATCTGGTACCGAAATCCAGCTATGTCCTTAAACAATCGAATGGATGTATCGCTGACGTTCAGTTTCAGTGCCGTTTGTCCTAGACTTAGTTGGGTTGAATGCAGCACCTGCTGAAGAACACATGCATGGTTCTCTTTTGTCGAAACAGTTACTGGTCATCCAGACTTCCCCTTCCATTGACACAGTACACTACCAGAACAGCAAAGTTTCGTAACAATAGACAGCATAACTGTGTTACTTGGTGCCGTCTTATTAAATCTCTCTTGGAATTGTTCTGTCACCTTTTTCAAACTCAGTCTGCCTTCATAACCACTTCCGTATGAGCGGAAATACTACTCAATTATGAATACTTTTTCCTCTTCTGAGAGACCAATTGCCAACAACAATTGCACAACACAACTTCCTTTTCAATACTGGGAACACGTGCGGCTGGAGCCATGCCCCGTCGACACGCACATGCGTGTTCGAGATGCACGAGTTTCAGTACTGCATATTTTGGCGCATACTCTACTTTTCATGTTTAGTAAGAAGATGGAATTATAGTATTATCATATCCCCTTAATAACCTTCAACCCAAGTCACAGATATTTATGAAAGTTGTATGTACATAGTTCCACTAGCAACAAATATGTATAACTCTGTTGTAATTTTGGCAAGGTAATTGCAAGGTAGAAGTAACACTGGTGTCACTGTATGTCATCTGAAAACATTGGTGATCACCTACAGAACTAGAGCTATGAAGATATGTGTGTGAGAATAGAACCTTGAAAAGTATATAATATTGTGACATGTTGGGCCGGAGAACAGATGCTGCAAGAACGGGCTCCAAAGCAAAGGAACGGGGTGCACCGTTAGGCTATTCGAGACGAACAGCCTTAAGGAGGGAGCAGTGTGACATGTTGAGCTATGGATGACGCCCCTCCCCCCCACCGCCAGCCGTGATGCGCCGAGCGAAGCTGAAGTGAGCCGAAGTTAGCCGAGTCCCCGCAACCTGGTAGCTATGCAACGCGAGTCAACAGCGATGACATCACCAAGGGTACCGCGGGTTGCTAGGCAGCACGGGTAAACAGTTGTTGCGAGAGATGACGGTAGTAACAGCGGTACACAGCGTTGCTGGCACGATGGCACCAGACATAGTGGTGCCTGTTACGTGGCCGTTTTCTGTATTGTCCGATCGAGGCTATATAAGGAGCAGCGAAGGCTATTCGCAGAGTCCTCGAGCTACCTCCAAGTTAGTTCCGAGTTAGCCAGCAACCAGTCAGTTGTATCCTGGCATTTGGAGTGTAGTATTTGTGATACTGCAGATAGCAATAATTGTGAATCTGTAATTTGGGTGATTGTAAGTGCGAATGTGAAATAAAATTCGCTATATCAAATACGGCGTGAAGTTATTTGTCGCGTTATACGCCCAATACGTGACAATATTTTGAGAACCACTGAATTGATTTTCATGAAATTTTATATGTGAGAGTTTTACCAAAGTCTGTCAACACATCACAATTTGCTGGCTGCAGAAATTTCGCCAAAAATGACTATAGAGCTGGTTCCTTTTTCATAGTTTACAGACCCTCTGTAGCATTTTCTGACAATACTGACTGCCACAGAGGCTTCAGAGCTCCATTCTCTCTTTGCATTTGTCTAATGCAGTTTATCCACTTCAGTTCTGTTTTCTGGAGGACACTGTCCGATTTGCTGATGTATTACATAAACTGATATGCTTAGTCATGTCCCTCTTGCCTTCTCACCCTTCAACAAGCCAAGCAAAGTACAGACTATGTGAAGTATGTTCACCACACTAATGAATGCAGTCATCAAATGCAGTTTCTTCACAATGAAAGAGAGTACAGTTCAAATGCGACTTTATATACATTCAAACCACTAAAAGTGATATTTATAATTTTTACCAGTGGCTTAAATCTGATTGAGCACTGTAGAAGTGGTAATAGTCCCTAATATGTCAACAGTGTTGAAATTATGCATTATTGTTAGTATGAGATCATGTTATAGTTGCTTACATTCATATACATGAGCTTCAGATACATTTATCATCTGTGTAAGAAGTTAAAAGTTGAGAATTTTGTTCCTCCCTGCTCTGTTTCTTTTTAGAGAGTTTAAGTTAATATTGTAACGTGTTTTGCCGCTGAAGATGCCGTTTGGATTGTTAATTGATTTATTTAACAACCTACAAGTCTTTGCTACAATTAATTATAACACTGTTACAGGTTTAAACAATTTACAACCCTACAATATAATCTGTCCACTCTGTCCTCAGTACTCTTCACGTATTCACAGGACGATACGGGAGATATACCAGTGTCACTGTATTACACACTCCCAATTACTTCTCTTGTGAGCCAAGCATCTGCTTCTCACGCTATCACTTCTAATAACACGTTCCGGTATTCTTCTTTCCTCTACAACTGAACATGGCGACTGTTCCAATTCAACTATCTCCGGCTATGGCTACATTTCAACTGTCACTCCTGATCACACACTACTAACTACTAACTCACTACTAACTGTTAGTTTACAGGTATTAAGAAATGTATATTTTACTAAATTTGAATCCATATTTAAGTATGGTATTATGTTTTGGGGTGGTGGAGGTAAAGAGATAGATACAGTTTTTAAAGTACAAAAAAAAATGCATAAGAGCCATTATGGGCGTTGGTAATCGGGCATCCTGCAGAAGGCTGTTTGGTGAGTTAGAAATTTTAACTGTTACTTCTTTGTATATACTGGAGATTTTATGTTTTATCATAAAAAATAGAATCTATACAACTCTGAACTCTGATGTGCATAATTACAACACAAAGCATAAACATAATCTGTATGCCCAACATTGTAATACAAATCGTTGTAAGAGAAGTGTGATAAACATGGGCATAAAACTATACAATAATCTTCCTATGGAGTTAAAGAATGTATCTGATTTTAAAGTGTTTAGGAGGAAATTGAAGTGTTATTTGTTGCATAATGCCTTCTACTCTCTTCAGGAGTTTTTTTATATGTAAGATGTTGAATTAAATGACTGTAATTGCCTGTTAATGCATGTGCTGGTGGTTTTTTATATAATATATTTAAGTATTTATGTATTCTTTGATTATGTTAGGTGTGATTGTTATTAAATCTATATATTCCCTTTGACTTTATCCGATTGTATATTTTACAGTTATGGATGTAATAAAATTATGAATTATGAATTATGAATTACTATTGACTGCTAACTGCTGACTGACTCTGAATAGTGTTCGCTGTTCCCTATTTAGCCTTGGCATGGACAAGACAGGAAACAGTTATGTGATAGGTACTGCTGTTGCCTGACGCCGTGTTTTTCGATAGCCTAGCAACGCTGATGGGAGTTGTTTACTGCCGCATGGCAACCGTGGCATCCCTTGGTCACGTCACCACGCGGGGGGGTGTTGACTGGCCTATTACCATAGCAACAGCAACGCTCCGAAGGTGTTACGTTGCTGCTGGCGGGGGAGGAGGTGTCCTGCATAGTGCAACTATATCACAGTATTATGTCTGTTACTATTTCTGTTGAAGGATTTCACACTCAAATTGACAGCACTTTCTGTTTTTAGTGTTATCTACATGTTATGAGTAACATGTAGATAACACTAACATGCATTTTGTAATGTTGTAATTGTGACATAGGTTCACTGAAGTAGAAGATGATGTTATTAAATGCCATGTGTCAAAAGGAATGGATAGACAGCCATTTTCAACACTGTCCAAACTCTTCAACAGAGACAGACTTTCTATCTACAAGAGATACAAGTGGCTTGAACGTGAACTTCCAGGAGAACAAGGTAATGTCCTGACTTCACAATTACTTTTTATTTTGGGAATGATAATGTTGCTAAAATAAAATGAGATTATTTGTGAGGAACGATTTGCACAGAATTATTAAGATGACGACTTAAAGGGTTTTTGTCATCATGTCATCACCACCAGCAACAAAATGTAATAGAACAACATACTGTAGTGGTTCTGTAGGACAGAATTTGGTGGTCGTGGCCTGATCAGAAGTACTATCCAGGCATTTGTTTGGAGGGACATTACAGAAAACCTCACTCAGGATAGTCAGTGTCCCAACTCCCAAATTTCTAACCTTGCAGTTCCTGAAGGAAGTCAGAAGCATTACTGCTTGAAAGAGATTGCTTAGTTATTGTCTTGTCATTGGTATTGTACGTCAGAGGTTTAGCATATCTCTTGCTTCTTCCCATAATCATTTACAGTACATTTAAATCTTAATATTCAAAGGTCTCTTGAAATTTGTTATAATAAAGTGTTTGTATAATGAAATGTCCTTCAATATTGCTATGAAGTGCAGAATCAGATGATGTATATTATATGGAAGTACACTTATTGCGTGTCTAATGACAGGTCTGGAGCTGTTGCCCTTGTCTTCTAAGTCCTTGTTGTCATTTCTTTGTGTGTATATTTGCACACACATGGATAGTCATTGATGCTGCTTTTTGTCATTCTTGAACTGTGTAGCTACGCTTGCTTTTCAAGCAGTGAGAGTCAGCATAAGTCAATTTTTAACACATACCAACCTGATAATTTCTATGATTTTGTGCTGTAGCTGAGACAGTTAGGTGCTGGCTTCTCACCTCAAGCCTTGGGTTTATCCAAGGTAATTTCATATGGGATTCGTGGTGGATGAAGTGATGGAGAAAGTTTTTTTTTTTTTCAGTTTCTTTGTGTTTCCTCTGCTAATCACCATTTGAATTGTGCTCCATACTAATTTCACTGCTCCCTGATGTGTGTGCTAGCCCTGAGCAGACAGCACCTTATCACATCCTCAGTCTTTAATTTTAACTCTTCATCTCTGACCTAGCACTTAGCTAGTTAGTGTGATAGAGTTAGTGTTACTGAACCCATAGCAATTTGTATAATTTCTTATATATCTGTTTCTGCTTGATAGGTTCAAGTAACTGTGCATGGATTTGATTGGCATTATGCTGTTGCAATTGTGTGCTGAAGCGTGGTACTAAGCATGCAGTGTATTGTTATTGTCATGGTTGGTAGCAGCACCAATGAGATAGCAGCTTAGATTGTACCATTTCTCATGCACCAGGTTCTTTCTTACCAGTAGTTATCAATTATTCCAGAGGTTCTCCCATCTTTAGGGAAGAACATAGACTCAATGCTTGAGAATGGAGTGGAACTTTAAGCCACTTGCATCATGTGAGACAGAGAAAGTAACTAGGGGATGTAGAAAACTACAAAATATAGGAGCATCATAATTTGTGGTCTTCTCTGAATATTATTAGGACGATTGGTTCAAGGTGGATGAGATGAAATTCATGCAAAATTAAGTGTGAGAGCTTCAAGAGAAGAAAATGACCACTTAGATAACCTAGGCAGTGATAGGAGGATGGTACTGAAATGGATCTTACAGAAATGTGGTATGAGAAAATGGACAGTTCAGTTTAGGGTAGGGCTCACCTATCTGGCAAAGTACATCGTCACATGCCAGAAGACAGTAATATTCATGTCTCTGTTGTGAGAACCTCAGATCTGACGTTGCAATTAAATTAACCTAAAGGGTTTCAAAAGGCATGCAGTTTTTTCAGCAGCTGAATAATTTTTGCTTTTATAAGTGAGTGTACACCAATTGTGAAATCCTGGATGCAGCTTTCATGATGTTTTGATTTTTATGGTTCAGTTGGGGATGGGGTCTGTGACCCAGTAGTTGAGAAACATTGAGTTAGATAAAGCTGATTTTTTTTTCCTTATTTAACACAGAAACTTTCATGATGAAACGCAACCTAGCTCTATAATATAATTTGAAATAAACTGAGGTTGTGTAAAACTTGATTTTCGGTATGGTAATAGATTCTGTAATAGTAAACCCTTGTTGTTGTTATTTAATTACTGTAGGACGTGTGACTTGGACATTGCAGAAAGTTGAAATGGTAATAAGGAGTCTTTTGAAAGTCACTGGTTTAAAAAACGTGGAAGACCTACGCAATAGACATATTTCATTAACAGACTGGAGAAAAGTTGAAAAGGACTGTGGAATTAGAGCGGACTGTGTTAGAGACATTTGGAGGTTTAAATTGTCCACACAACTGTTTTGTCCTAAACCAATATACTTAAAGGAAATTAGAATTAAACTAATAAAGAGGTAAGTTCTCAGGTTGTGGTCATCTAGGTTGTGACCCCATGCAGTCTTTTAGGCAGAGACCAGTGTTTGGGAGGACCATGTTGCCTTCATTTTCAGGCTTGAAGGACTGGGTTAAGTTATATGAGCAAGTTGCAAGGAAGGGGGACACTTTGACCTGTGGGACAGGGGTGAGGAAATCTAACCTCGTTGGGGCCATTATATCCCAATGAATTTCACAGCCCCTACACATCAACCCTGAAGATGGAGGCAGAATCATCTTCTGCCTATAAGACTGCACAGTATCACAGCCAAGAAGACCACAGTCCAAACAATCATCACATGGACTTATATGGGGTAAGTTATACTCATCATATAAATATAAACTCTTGAATACACTTATACAGATGTTCTAAAGGATGTATATAATGTATGAGAGACAAACATACTGTATTTAAATTAGATTATTTTTTTCTTTAGTAGAATTAAGTTTAGCACTGAATCGTATGCCAATCACATTGGCTGCACAGTCTAAGACATGAACTGCCTTTGCTAGGATCAGGGGTTCGAATCCCACTCAAGACATGTGTGCCTATTTGAGTTTATTCTGTGTTTGTGTTGTTCTGTGTGTATAGGTAGCAGCCCTGCAATGGGCTTATCCCCCGGCTGGGGAGTCCTACTAAGAAACTAAAAAAGTGGCTAAAGAGCAACAAAAGGACTGTAGAGCCATAGATGGATGGATAGATGGACAGATGGGTGGTCACACAGACTTGTGCATCAAAGTGAAAGTTGATTTGTTTAGTTTTCTTAGGAGCCTAGCTGAATAGCACTTTATGTTACTCTAACCACAGGTTTTGCAAGTGGTGTATCTTCCAAAAACGAGGAAAACTCAGAACCTGTAATAATTTGAAGTAATGGTTTTACCATAACCTCACACTTTGCATCTTAAAATTTAAATTCTTTTATTAAATCTAAGAAATTTAAGTCACTTGGAAACATTTTTTTGTTTTCAGACATGTCATTTTTGTATAAAATCTCTTCTTCAGCTCTGCTTCTTGTAGCTGATTGTCAGGAATTAATTTTATGGTCTCAAATCTGAACACTAAAAATTCACTGTTATTTTGAATTACAAATAATTAATGGTTACTTTGAGATGAGTAATGATATTTATCTCTTCTTTATGCACTCTGTGAATGTGACTGCATTTTATAGCCACATAACAGAAACTGATATTTAAATGAAATTAAATGTACAGGTGTCAGATGAAGTGGTTGCTAATGATAATATGAACATCTAATGTAATTGTCAGGAAATATTGTATAGATTAAGCAAATTCTGCTGTCTCATCGTAAAAGTATAAATCAGTGCAACCAGTTTGTTGAAGATGAAAGAACATTGTGAATTAACTTAATTTATACTGAGTTGTATGTGACAACTTCAGGATTTAAGAGCAGTTCAGACATCTGTCTGACTGTAGAGTAAGGTAAATTTGTCCCTGTGCCTAATTAATTGAGCTCAACACCATTAAGATGTATGAGGGAGGTGAGGTATAGCTCCACTATTCTTGACCTTGGCACTAGATGGAGGTGAGTCATCAGATTCACACTTTGGCTTCTTTACCTGTGGGGAAAGAGCCCTGATACCCATTCAGTAGGAGGCTTGGTTGGCCCCAGAGCCAGTCTGGATGCTTTGGACAAGAGAAAAATTTTGTGCTTACCAGGAATGAAATCCTGGCTGACCAGCACATAGACCATTGCTATTCTGACTGAGCTGTTCAGACTCCTTTGGCTGACTGTAATGAAACATAATTCTGAGAGTTCAAAGGGCTTCTTCACTTTATCACAACAATAGTTGGTGGTATCCGCATTTAATGTTCCTCAGTTCAAGGTGTTCCCTCATTTATCATTCCGTTTCACTGATCCCAAGGAGCTGGCAGTATAGCGACTGGCTATGGGCTGGATGACTAATGGGCCCCATTTCGAGTCCTGGTAGGTTCAAGAATTTTCTCTTCTCTAAGTCGTCCAGACCGGCTCTGGGGTCCACCCAACGTCCTATCCAGTGAGTACCAGGGGCTCTTTCTTCAGGGCGTGAAGCTGACCACTCACCTGCAGCTAGTTCCAAGGTCAAGAAAATGTGGATCTATACATCCACTCCCCCATATGCCTTCATGGTGTAGTGCTTAATTAGTTAAGCACAGGGACACATTTTCCTTTTTGCCTTTCAGTCATTCCAAGTCTATAATCTCAGCCTTAAGATTCCTCCATTGAAGATATCCAGTTTAGTATTCAGATCCACTGCTCGAAAAAGTAACCTTAAATGGGGGTTCCTCCTTCATTTTATGCGTACAGCCATGCATGCTGTTAATTTCAGATACTCTTTCTTTCAGACTTTATAGAGATGATGTCAAGTATTGGCAAGACATAATCTGGAATGATATAGCAACGGATTTTGGTGTCGGTCCATTGTTCTTATGGGCATTATTTCGAAAGTTGCTTAAATCATGTTATCCGAGGCATGACTGGGAATACTTCAGATCTCATTTCAGGGGTTTGTAATCTGCTGCTGTTGTACCAATTTCTTTCTTTATTTCTTATAGTCTTGTTTGTACTGTTACTCTCTGTCCCTTAGAGCTTAATATTATCACCAGCACCTTGTACTCAAACATCCTCCATCTGTGTCCTTCACTTTGGCTTCATAAAAAGGAAAGGTGAAGTTATGGTTTTATATAAAGTAATCTTTAGGTCAAGATAATAGAAGATAAAATATTCTGAACTTAATGGTAGCAAGAGTTCCCAAATTTAATTTATTCTTAATTTCTATATGAAAATAGTTTTAATTTGTTATTTCCAAATATTTCAACTTCACACATACAAGGAGATCGAAAAGTCATGCACATCAAACTAAAAGTTGTTATAAATTGTATTGCAATTAATATAATTATATCTCCTACCATTATATGGTACTGTAGGAGTACTAACAACTAGTAGAAACGCCATCTGTTGTGTATCGGTCATACGACGTCTGCAGTATAGCTTTGTTCATTGCATGACAGACATGTCATTTTCCCAAAAGCAACGAGTTTTCATTGTGGTACATTATTTTGCCAGTCATTCTTATGCATGTGTCACAGACGAGTTTTGCTGGGAATATCCGGATTCTGCAGTTCCTAACAATTCAACGTTAATAAGAATAATCAACCGATTGTGGGACTGTGAATGATTTTCAGATAGGAAGATATCCGGGAGACTGGCCATTTTGACTGAGGCTAAACTGGCTGACGTGGAGAAAATGTTGCAGCATTCCCCTTCAAAAAGCCTGAGGAGACTATCAGCACAATGAGGGATTTTGTACGGAAGTGCTCAGAAAGCGATGAAGAAGTTACACCTTCGTGCATATCGTGTTCGCTGTGTGCAGGAACTGAAGGACCTGGATAAAGGAAAACGCTTAGTGTATGGCAGATGGTTTCGGACATTTGTTGGCAGCCATGGAATTGAAGAGTTTGATTAGGTTTTCTTCACTGACGAAGTGTGGTTTCACCTTAGTGGCTACATGAACAGTGAAAACAATAGGATTTGGTCATCTGAAAATCCACACGTGTTACATGAAAAGACCTTGCACTGACAGAAAATCGGAGTGTGATGTGCTGTGTCACGTCGAATAGTGGGCCCAATTTTCTTTGAAGCAACAGTGAACAGTCCAGTGTACCAAGACATCATTTACTTACTTACTTACTCATGGAGCTGAGCCCTTCTTGAGGAGCCACCAATTCTGCAGCTACTCAAGAACCTCTCAGTATTTTATGGAACCCGAAAGTTCATTGCCGTGTTCACAAGAGCCCTCCACTGGTCCTGATCCTGAGCCAGATCTATCCAATCGATACCATCCCATCCTATCTCTCTAACGTCCATTCTAATATTGTCCACCCACCTACGCCTTGGTCTTCCCTATGGTCTCTTTCCTTCTGGCTTTCCCACCAATAGCCTATACGCATTCCTCGTCTCCCCCCATTCGTGCTACATGACCTGCCCACCTCATCCTCCTTGACTTGATCATTCTAATTATACTTGGAGAAGAGTACAAGTTATGAAGCTCCTCATTATGCAGTTTTCTCCAACCTCCTATCACTTCATCTCTCTTTGGTCCAAATATTCTCCTCAACACCCTGTTCTCAAACACCCTCAGTCTGTGTTCCTCCCTTAATGTCAGAGACCAAGTTTCACAACCATACAGAACCACAGGCAAAATTATAGTTTTGTATATTCTAACCAAGACATCGTTACACAGTTTATTGCGCTTCTTGAAGTTGATGAACGTGAGTGTCGGTTGCAGCAAGACAGTGCAACATGTCACACATCTAATGAAACCATGCAGTTCTTGCCTGAGTTTCTTGGTGACCGTCTCATTTCGAAAGGATTGTGGCCCCTGCATTCGCCCGATTTCTCACCCGCAGATTTTTTTCCTTTCTGACTACCTTAAAGGAATTGTCTATAAAAACAATCCGCATACACTGGGTGACCTCAAGAGGAACATTATGATGGCAATTAACAGCATCAGTTTACAGGTGCTCCACAAAGTGGCCTCAAACATTGTAAAAAGAGCTCGTGCATGCATTGCTGAACAGAGAAGCCATTTCGAGCATGTGTTTTAAAGGCATGATTTTATTTTGCATTTCTAAGGCGTAAGGTTATAAAAATTAATAGTAAGTGCTGTATGTCTTGTAGTTTGTGCATTAAACCAGCAAAATATAATTTCTTAGTGTGATATGCACGACTTCTCGATCTCCCTGTATTACAAGTATTTTTGTCTAGCTTCAAATGAAGTTCTTGTCTTACATTCTTGGGATGAGATAAGAATGTATGTTTAGTTTCTCTGCATTTATTTCTTGGCCAACCTTTCTAGCAAGTAATAGATTTTCTGTTTTTTTTTATGGTGCTGTGTTTATATTTTTGCTCAATAAACTAGTATGATGAGCATGTACAGAGGCTGATACATGCCATTAATTTCCAGTCCACACTAATTGTCTTGGACCATCCTAATTGGCATATTCTAGAGTGAGGTATAGCAGTAGTGATGAAGTATCTCTTTGTTTCACCAGTCTGAACAGAAAATGGATTAGACAAATGTTCAGCTATGCAGACTTTACTGTAGATTTTATTTAATAGTATTGTAATTGGTCTTTCTAATTTTTTTTGTTTGTACCAAGTTTAGTAAGTTTATTTTACATTACTCCTCACTGAATCGTTTCCTGTGCTCAACCTATTGAATTCTTTATGAGCGGTCTGATTTGGTTCATCCTGGTCCATCACACCAGCAATATTATAAAAGGTTAATCAACTCCATCCAGTGTGACTGATAAAATGTTTTTTTAGGGAAAGAAAGAAAAAACATTTTATCAGTCACACTGGACATGGTTGATTAACCTTTTATAACCTTTCTGAGAGGGTTACCACAGTGTGAGGCCAAAGAGTTACATTTAAGGTGGACACAATTTTTCTCATTGCTGCTGTGTGGGTATTAGAATTCTCATTATTTTACAATAAACATGAATTTTGTTCAGGCTTTGCGTGATTGATGCTGCCATATATGCAAGATATTCTTAATTACACCATTTTGGTTTGAAATTGAAGACATGTTTGGCTTAATGTTATATACAACAGCACTTAGGTGTTACAAGCTACATATGCCCTGAGATAGGCCCCAAGTGGTTAATTAATCACAGCACCGAGAGATATATGGGATTGGAGGTATGCCTCATGTGTTCATAATCTCAGTATCAGTCGAGGGTTTCTTGAAGTCTATAAATACATGATGTCTTGTCTGTTTGTACTCCCAATTTCTCTTTAATATATGAGGAATTACAAACGTCTGATAGGTGGTTTGTCTGTTATGTCAAAAGCCACACTGATGATCTGTAATTTTGTCAGTATATGTGGCAGGCCCACAGACACATTCTGAATGCCATATTGTTAACGATACTTGAATGATGCAAGCGGCAGGATAACTCAGTCGATATAATGATGGGCTATGTTCAGGATAGCCGAGGTTCAAGTCCTGGCAGGGGCAAGAGATTTCCTCTGCCTCATGCCATCCAGACTGACCCTGGGGCCCACCAGGCTTCCTATCCAATGAGTACCATGGATGAGGTGACTGGGGCATGAAGTGGACCATTTACCTCCATCTAGTGCCAGGGTCAAGAATGGTGGAGCTATACCTCCACTCTCCTCTACATCTTCATAGTATGATGCTTAATTGGTGAAGCAAAGGGACACCTTTAGCTTTTACCTCACCTACCATTTTTATAGCAGTTCTTCACTATTCCAAATAGGATGAATTTTTTTTTGTTACCAAAATGTAATAATATCTTTCCTTTAACCCTTCCGCACCGACATCCGTGTGCTGCACCGACCCTTTAAATAATCGTATGCCACCAACATCTGTGCAGTGCACCGACCTGCGCAGTGTTAGCTTTGAAGGACGTTGCTGACAAAACGAGGAAAGATATTCCAGTTTTCTTTTCAGGAGTACATAGATTAAGGTTTCATCTTTCAATTGGTATATGAGTTATTTATTTTGGACGAATTTTTAGCACGGTATTTTTATTTTATATCGTTAGTGTAATAGTTCGTACTTTGGTCTCATTGCGCCTAGATTGCATTGAAGTTTTTCAAATTCTAAGTAAGGAAAATGTATAAAACTATATATCTTTCGACTCTATGGTCTTTGCTTGTCTATATGAGTCACTCACTGAAACCCCAGACGAAGGTTTTCCTTGAGTGGGTTGCTGTACA